TTGCAATTATATATATAATATATATGTAAATGTATATTATATATATAATAAAATATATATGTATAATGTATATATAGTTATATCTATATATAATTTATTTATATATATGTATATATATGTATTTTTCTGCAACATGAAATGCATATAATACCGTGAAAAACCAAAGAAATTTTATTTATTCCTTCTATCAGCATAATGGGAAATTATATTAGATTTCAGAAATAAACATATGTTGAAATGTAAATTAAGTGTTGATGGTAAAGGTTGCAAAAATATGAGATTATTATTGAAAAAGAATTTTGAATAATCATGAAATAAAAGATTATTATCTAAAATGGATTTTATATAATTTAAAGATTCAAAATTATTAGCATAAATAGATTTTTAACAATTTAGGAATACGAGATTATTATTAAAAAAAAGATTCTAAAATAAGCATAGAAATGCGATATTATTATTAATTGAAGATTTTTAATAACTTAGTAATATGAAATTATTATTAAAAAGTCGATAGTATAGAATTAATAAAATAATAAAGGGATTGAAATTATATTTTCAAAATGTTAGACAATTCATGTTTGTCCTATTTATTACAGTACGGTACTCATTTCATAAAATGTATGTAACTTGTCATCAGCAAAAGATTCAATATCACATTAGTTAAACGAATAAAATTAAATATTGAACTATGAAAAAATTTAAAAATATAGTTGCAATATTATGCTCATAAATTTTATGATTATTCAGTACGTCATATTTTTCGCAAACATCTATTTCATTTTAATTTATAACTAAATTATTAAATTATCTAAAAGTAAGAGAACGCTATTCGTCATAGTCGTTTCTGATTTTATTTGAATATTGCGCATGCGTAATATCTCTCTAACATTTTATTCTTCTTTCATCATAATATTATGTCATATTATATATACCTATAACATACTATAGAAAAAACTTCTTACTTTTATCTTTCGTTCCATTTTCAGAACGCGATTTAATTAAATCATTGCAAACTACTGATTTGCAATTTTATACCGTCTAGAAGTATTTAACCAAACATAACTACACTTATCTGAATATAAATCAATACAAAACGAACAATCCGTTAAACATTTCTCTTATATTTCACTCGGTTTGTTGTTAACCTAACACGAAATTGTATTGCGATAGGTATTCGTGGTAACATTTGTTCCTCCGATAATTCGCACGTTGTGAAACCTGGCTAATTCTCCTACTCTGCTCTACCTCCAGAGGGCCTGTGGGAAAGAGAGAGAGAGAGAGGAGATGTATGCGTATGCGTAGGTGTATGTATGATCAGGTTTGATAGGCGCATGCGCAGACCGGTGACGACGACCGATACACCGCATGAGTTGGTGGGAGAAAAACAAGGACAGGTATAACAAGGGGTGAGAAAGGCAACGATGCAACCCCTGTTTTTCCCGTAATCGTTGCCGCTCGATTCTGCGCCTTAGTTTGGCATACGGGGCGGCTCCTATATTCCTATTCACCTTTAGCGTTACCCCAGGAGTGCATGAATGGTGATTTAACGCGTGACGAGAAAAAGAACCTTCGTGTCCGGCAATTGCTGGACAAGTGAAAGAATTAGGAAGACAGTGCCTAGTCTCTCATAAAGCACAATGGTTACGGATAGTACGAGCCAGGTATGATTCTATATATTTTGCGTAGTAGGAGGTGCCGGAATGTCGCCGGTATTTTTTCCTCTCTCCACTGATCGAAGGGTGTGAACTTTCTGTGATACATTAAAACAATTCAATCTATTTCGTTGATAGAAAGTTAGGCTAAATCGAGTATCTAAGTGGTACTTCTCGTTATTTTACCAATTTTCTTTGCCCTAGGACTAAATGCAGTGAGACAAAAGTAACTTTAGCATTCTGTCTGATAACCATTGATAAAGTAAAAAGAAGTCGTGGGAGGGGATGATTGTAAGCAAGATATACATACAGTACATACGGCAGAGGTAGACGTTTTATAAGCCGGTTGTTGCCGTGTGGTCATAGTTCTGCAGATATTAATCTGGGGATAATCGAGTCAAGTGTAACTAGCCGTAAATAACTTAACTGGCAAAATTTATCAAACAGAATGCAAATCAAAGCTGTTGATAGGATAAAGGTCATGGTCAAATTATGGCATATAATGTGACCAATTGCATTACCTGGATCGAGCAGTCTGGATCGAGAATAATGTCGCGTTTCGAATTTCTATGAATGAGCAAAGGGTTAAAAGCTTTGAAATATATTTGTAATAAGCTTTTCAACGTATTTGTAGCATGAACATATTATTCTATGTTACGAACATTCGTTAAATGTACAAAAATGTTACTACTACATTATATCTAGCATAATAATGTTAAATGCAAATTTTGTGTTAATACAATTTTTTTTTTCAAGTTTTGGAGTAGCATCAACTTTATGGTTATTAGCGATTGCGTACTATTTACCATTTTAGATAATTAGGTTGGATTGTTTTAGGAATTTGATGATGTCTATTGTTTCTACCGCAATACGGTAATATTCATATTTATATGATTTTGCAGGTGATACTTTTTTACTTATTATAGCATTGAATACTGCATACTGCATTGAATAAAAATATGTACATACATCACACGTTACAGCAATTTTTTAATTTATACATGTATACTATACATGTTTTTAAATAATGATCTATGACTATTTTAAATTAAAATTTGTATTTACCAGGATATTGTTCCTTTGATGATATAATTAAAAAAATTTGCAGATGGTAGGAGAATGTCTTGATACTGGACAGTATTTCATAACTGATAATTACATTATAAGCATTAATTCTGCTATATTGGCTGTTGTTGTAGTAGTTATTGTGTTACCAATTAGCTATGTTGTAGTAACAATGAATTATAGTACTAATGATTACTTATAATTATTATACTAATAATTATAGTTATAGTTATTGTACTAGAAATTAATTATTCTAGAACATACTACATTTATTTTTAAATGCTGTAATTTTTTTTCCTTTCGTTATTCTATCACATAAAATTTAATTATTAAGGCTAAAGTTTAATCAAATTAAGCTATTTAAGTTTCTGTGATTCTTTCTTTTGAATAATTTCAGTTATATATGTATATATACGATATTATGTAATTTTTTTGGAAAGTTTTAAAGTATTTTCCCATATATTCATTCTACAATATTTAGCTAAATAAAAAAAAAATTAATTAAAATTTAAGTTTCGTTTCATTTATTGTAATATAGTAGAGAAATAATTGTTAAAAGTATAATTAATAATTATTAAGGTACTTCAACCTTATAGTAACATTTATTTTACAAACGTTATCTATTATCGATAAAAACCAAAATTCCTAATGATTAAATTATTATAATCATAATATAAAATAATTAAGAATTATTGTTAAAGTAGCTTTTATATAAATATATTTACATATTATAAGTACATTTTCCTGAAACTTTTCAATTGTTAATTCAATTGTTTCTTGATTTATCCAGTTTTGTTTCCAATTTGTTTTTCCTTTCCACTTTTGCGTGGATTACTGTTTGAAACTAGTTGGAAATTCAATATTATCAAGGAATTATACAGGCATTAAGTGGTGTACAGATAAAATCTTAATTTTACAGCTGAGCCATAAGCGTTAAAAGCATTTAAGGAAAACTTTGCTATATTATTATTATTATAACATTGTAAAATACTTGATAAACGTATTCGTATTAGAAAATCGAGAAATTAAAGTACTTAGAAAAATATTTTGTATTATAACAAAAAAACATGAATTACAGTTAATTAATTAATCCCATTAAATAGGCTAATATTAAATAAAGATCTATCAGTGACGATTTTAAATAAACTATTAAAATTTCAAATATGAACTTTACATTTGATTATTTTTATATTAAGTATAATTATGTCAGTCTATACTATGATTCCATTTTCTGTTAATATTCTATGGATTTTTAGAAAAAGATATTCTTTCACAAGTGCATATAAATCATTAATGACGATGAGCAAAGAAGGAAAGAATATGAACAAAAATTTGTGGAATACTTGATGATTATTTTTCTACATTTGGATTTAAGACTGATTCAATATTTATAATTTACTATAATCGATGAAATAATATGATAGTATAAATGAATAATATAAATTATGAATATAAAATACAAATAATAATGCAAATATATAGTCGCAATTTTAATTAAAATAATAAAATAAATATTAATATCATGTTTAATTATTTTCCATTTAGGCTGACGACACGACAGCATTTCTTCGTGCTGCTCGGTCCGGGAACCTCGAAAAAGTGATCGAATTCCTCGATACCGACTTAGATATTAATACAGCTAATTCGGTAAGAACCAACACGATTTATTCATTTTTATAATTATTAAGCTTAACTGATTTATCAAATGAAATACGTTCTACTCGCCGATGAATTTATGTTACGTTTCATATTTCAGAATGGTTTAAATGCTTTACATTTAGCATCGAAAGATGGCCATGTTGAAATAGTAACAGAATTGTTAAAAAGGGGTGCTAAGGTGGATGCAGCTACAAAGAAAGGAAACACTGCGCTGCACATAGCTTCGCTCGGTAAATAAGATTTTCTATGAATTTATTAATAAACGGTCTATTTATGATCAAATGATTAGTAGTTTATTTATTATAAGGTAAATTAAATTGCAATTTATTAATAATTCATTTATAAATAATTATTAACAGATTATTAATAAAATACTATTATTGAACGAGATTTATGATATAATTTTAGCCGGCCAAGCGGAAATAGTAAATATTCTAATTCAATATGGTGCTGCGGTTAATATTCAGTCTCAAAATGGTTTTACACCTTTATACATGGCCGCCCAAGAAAACCACGATCAAGTCGTTAAGTTGTTGCTCAGTAATGGAGCTAATCAAAGTCTTGCTACAGAGGTGAATATCTACAATCGTTTGAATTACGTAATCGTTATATTTATTATTCAGAACGATTTTGTATTTGTTGCATGTTTCACGCTTGGAATCATTTACGTAATAAAAAATAAAATCATTTTTAGGACGGATTTACACCTCTTGCCGTAGCAATGCAACAGGGACACGATAAAGTTGTCAGCGTTCTTTTAGAAAATGATTCTAAGGGAAAAGTTAGACTACCAGCACTTCATATTGCGGCTAAGAAAGATGACTGTAAAGCTGCTGATCTGCTATTGCAGGTAAATAATAGAAAAAAATCTCAGTATTATTATAATTATCATATTTCATATCGAAGGTATAACATATGTTGAGGTATTAAAATATATTTGTTTCTTATTTACTGCTTTAGAATGATCATAAACCTGATGTTACATCGAAAAGTGGTTTTACACCGCTACATATCGCCGCTCATTATGGAAACGAAGAGATAGCACGTTTATTAATAAAACGTGGCGCTGACGTGAATTATTTAGCGAAGGTACAAAAAAGTTCATATCAGTACAAACTGTTATAAATATGTATTGATATATACAATTTTCTTCATCAGCACAATATAAGCCCTTTACATGTAGCGGCGAAGTGGGGTAAAAACAACATGGTCAAAGTATTATTAGAAAATTCTGCGCAAATCGATGCTAAAACTAGGGATGGTTTAACACCTTTACATTGTGCAGCAAGATCTGGTCATGAACAAGTGATCACTACACTTCTCGAAGATTCTGCACCTATCAGTGCACGGACGAAAGTGCGTAAGACATTAATTGTTTTATTACCAATATTAACGGTATAGATAGAAAGTTACCTTAACCCCTATGAGAATACTACAATTGTATATGTAAATAAATCGACATATCGATTCTGTTAATAAACGCGTCGATTATATTTCTCAGAATGGTCTTGCACCACTGCACATGGCATCGCAAGGAGATCATGTGGATGCAGCAAGGGTATTATTATATCATCGAGCGCCAGTTGACGAAGTTACGATCGATTATTTAACGTCTCTTCATGTTGCCGCACACTGCGGGCATGTCAGAGTTGCAAAGCTACTTCTGGACCGAAAAGCTGATCCGAATGCACGCGCTTTAAATGGCTTCACACCGCTGCATATTGCTTGCAAAAAGAATCGAATAAAAGTCGTCGAGCTCCTATTAAAACACGGAGCATCGATCGAATCTACCACCGAGGTAATTACTCTTAAGGACTTCTGGTACATGTTAATTATTGCTTATAAATCTTATTTACTCGCTGAGAATAGCTTCTTTTTCCATTTTCATTTTCACTTTTCTTTTAAATTATTCATACGTTTATCATTGGTTTTAATCCCGAACTTCTCATTTAAATAAATTATGTTTTCGTTTAATTCAAAATGGGAAATAATAATACAGTATTTTAATTAATTTATGAAACCAAGAACTATTGGTAGACAAATTGTTATATACGAAAGTTTAATCAACGATTTATCTTAATAATAATAATAATAATAATAATATTTCCCAGTAGAATTTGATGAAAGAATCGGATATTATTAAAATAAAATGGAATATTGTATGTATATATAAAGTAAAACTTCGTGAAAATTAAATGGACAATGTCAATTTTGATACAATTATTTCATATCTTTTGATCGTATTACAAAATTGAATAACTAATGTTTTTAACTATTTTACCATGAAACGTAACAGTTATGGATTTATGAAAGCAGAGACAAATGAAATTAATTTAAATTAAATCAATGCGGCTTGCAAGAAATGTAAATTGATATTGGCTGATTCTGAAGGAGATATTTATTTATGATCTTTTTAGTATTCGAGTCAAAAACCGAATAAAAAGTGTTCTTCAGTTACTACGTCACGGTATTTATAAATACATGTCCATAATAGAAACAATGAAAATCAAACTACTTTAAAGAAACACGATATTAAAAAGAAATAAAACAGGTTTGTTTTAGAGCATTTTTAAAAAAAATTCCTTGGTTATTAAAAGACTGGTTAACGGCTATTAATACTGGCATGATCAATACAGATGATCATTTCTATGTATTCTATGTTCATATTATATATGTATAGCAAAATATTTGGAGGAAGAAAGTATTCGTTCGGAAGTGTGGAGTCATGGTACCAAAAATGTTAATAGAAAATACATATATTTTACAGTCTGGACTGACTCCATTACATGTGGCCAGTTTTATGGGATGTATGAATATCGTGATATTCCTACTGCAACACGAAGCCAATCCTGATGTGCCAACTGTTAGGGGTGAAACACCTTTACATCTGGCAGCTAGAGCTAATCAGACAGACATTATTCGAATTTTATTGCGAAATGGAGCCAAAGTTGATGCTCGGGCAAGGGTAAGTAAACAATGAATATTGCTTGAAACAACAGTTTTTTCGTGACGTTATCAGGTTTTCTTAACATTTTGGAAGAAATGCACTTTATAATAAAACGATACATACAAATGATCACTCACGCATTCATTGCTATTAAATGTTCCGCACACACCATTAACCAGTCTCATTCTGTTTCCTATGTTTGTATTATCTCTATTTTGTTTATTTTCAAAATACATACGCATTGCGTTGTTAGTTTATTGTAATAATTGTTGGTTTATTATAGAATTATTAATGTATTTAAGTAAGATGGTAATTATTGCGATTTCTTTTTAGGAACAACAAACACCTCTGCATATTGCATCGCGATTAGGAAATATTGATATTGTTATGTTACTTCTGCAACATGGTGCAGCAGTCGACACTACTACGAAAGATATGTACACAGCATTGCATATCGCAGCGAAGGAAGGACAAGAGGAGGTAATGTACAAAGAAATTTCAAAAATAGCGGAATACATCAGCACGCAAAGTAGATTATATTTATTTTGGACAAGATATCGTGAATATTTTATATAGTTTCTGTAATTTAAAAAAAATTCTTATTTTCTCTTGTTATATATTTTCCTCTTTATCATTTACATTTCGTTTCATATCTTGTTAATTATGTTTTGTTTATACTTATTATATTTTATGTTAAGTTATTTATCTGTACTGAATTTTAATAAAATTTTTCATCGTATTATTTTTTATGTTGCCTTATTTCAATGTTATATTACGTACGTTGTTATTAAAGTTTTAGAAATTAATCACCTCATCTCATAATTTTCATCCTATTATATTTAGATGCACCTGTAAAATGAGTTTTATAAGGTAAGAAGTCGAGAAATCCCCTTCCTATTACATAGCAATTTCGCACCATTGATCATTTGTTCATCAATTTGAAATCATTTGATATTCTTTTATATCTCTGCTTATGTAAATTTCACCAGCCAAATATTATTTTGTATAATTATACTTGGTATTTTGTAGAAAATTTAATTTCTAATAATTATTGTTTATTTACTGCACTGCTTTTATATTATAAAGTGTAATTATAGTTTGTGTAAATTTGATTACTTCCTATTATCTCGAAGGTAAGCTATGTATGTATTGGGTATCTCAATTGAAGTGTTACAAGTTGTATAATAATACTTTTTTTCTGATCAATTTATCATTTGGTATAGTTCCTCATATCATGGTAGGATATTTAACATAAAAATGTTGAATAGAGAGGGAAAGACATCTTTTATTTTCTTATATAAAATAACATATAAATTTTGGGGTTTTTGAGTAATTAATTTGAAGCAAAAATTTAAAGATAAACGTGAGTGTTAAATTTAGTGCTTTGAATCTTCAAAATTCATTAATTATTCAAAATATCGTTTACATGTATACAGATTATCTTTAATATCACACTGGAGGCACATTAAAAAATGTTTAATTTACTAGTTTACAGTTTCTGTTCGAGACAGAATGATTCATAATTTTCTACAACCATCATGGAACGTGTATCGACATATTTTAATATATTCCACATGGAATATAGCTTTTTTCATCTGGTTCTTTTTTAAATTTAAAAATTGTGCTTTTATTTTCTTTTAATCTTTTTTTATCGTATTTCTGTATGTTGTGTAAAATAAGAAAATTTCTTAAATAAATATTAAAAGAGTTACATAAAAATACGAATATTTATGTAAATTCATTTTCATTAAAAAGTATAAAATATGCAATCCTCCATTGCGTATTAAAAAATGGTGTCCTATTAATTGCATAAAAAGAACGTAACAGGTAATGAAAAAATAAAACAGATTTTGTGCCTATCTTTAATAATTACCAAGAAAATATTTGTAACACTTCATCTGAGACATTCTGTAATTTTGTATTTTAACTTTAATTACGAATTTTGATGTAATGATGCATTAAGATTTAAGAAATTATAATAATAATTTAAAAAATAGTCTACAGAAAAGATTTAGTAAGCAATATATTTAATATTGTGAAATTATTCCTTTCAATATAGCTTTTACAATACTTTTGAAATATTACAGGTATATAAATTGTACAGAAATATAATTGCTTAAAAAATTTGACGATATAATATAAGTATTTATATTAGATATTTTAAGTTGGAGAGAAGACAATCTTTTTCTCTGTGCATGGTGATACTAAGTATATTTGAAGATTAACTTTATTCCTTTAAATCAAATACTACATTGTTTACTTTATGAAATTAAAAATTAAAAATTAATCATTAAGATGAAAGGAACAATATATAGTAATTAATCAAAAATACAAGAATAATACAAGTGATTTTAAAATTACATTTTCTATTATTTTGTATCACAAATATTATTGTTCATGAACGAAATCTTATAAAAATATATTAGAAATTCCGAAAATATTTTAGAAAAATATAGGTGGAATTTCAAAAATATTTTAGTAAAAAGCACATTACGATTTACGGACAAATTTTATAAAAAAATATTATGAAAATGTATTAGAATTTTCGAAAATATTTTTTGAAAATATATAAGAAATTTCAAAAAGATGGTAACCTTTTTACCTTCACGATTATTCTAACTAGTACACTAAATCGTTTTGAACTCGAGGATCAATTAAAAAGTATATATATTTGTTTAAAAATAGAGGCAATGATGTTAAAATTCTTTAACATTTTTATTTAAAAAACTATTTTCATCACACACAGGTTTTTCTTTGAATTAATCATTTTTCAAATTTAAATACCTATAAATAGATTTTTATATGTTCGACAATAATTAAATTTACTATACCATTTAGTATAAAGATTTTATATCTTATATAAACTATGTGTCTGTAGATTTTAGCTTGAGAAACTTTTTGCACGAATTACACTTTCATTCGAGTTCAATGTTTTCATATGCAGGTGGCAACTCTCCTTGTGGAAAACAATGCTTCTCTTAAGGCTACAACTAAAAATGGTTTTACTCCTTTACATATCGCAGCTAAATATGGCAATATGAGCGTCGCAAACATACTTCTGCAAAGGGATAGCAAACTAGATGCACAGGGAAAGGTATGTATCAATTATATTTTTATTTAATATATATATACTGTTCACTATGAACGTGGCCTAAGTTAAAAATCTGAAAGAAATATTTTTATTTCTTATTTTATACTGCTTTCTAATTTCTTATTTATACTGCTTATGCTTTCATTTATATTAAAATAAAAATAGCAAGAAGTTGATTGATGGATTGAACTTGTAGCTTTGTTGTAAATAAATATTTAAAATTATCAAATATTTAGGTGGGAAATTTTTGATATTTCAAAATGAAATATAATATATGACTTATTGTTAATTACTTTCATAATTATGAGCACATATTGTATTTTACATATTCCACGAAGATAAGTTACTTTTTAATTTCTCTTTTATTTTATATTATAAAATATATATTATATGTTAAATTTAAAATGATACTAAATTTCTAAATAACTATAAATAGTTATGCTTATGTGTTATTTATAATTAGTTATGTATTTAAGAAAAAATTTAATATAATTTTAAGTATAATATAGTTATTTATGTATTATTAACAAAATTTATGAAATGTTTATTAATATATAATGTTTACTAATGCATTTCAGAACGACATTTCTCCGTTACATTTGGCATGCCACTATGATCACCCAAATGTTGCAAATCTTCTGTTAGAAAAAGGAGCATCTCCTCATCTGGTTTCACAAAATGGACATACTCCCCTACATATTGCTGCAAGGAAAAATCAGGTAATATGATATTGCTCGTATAAGTGACCTCGGGTTAAACAATTACTCTGATGACTTACATAAGTCAAGTATAATAACTAAAAGCACAGATAGGTCATCCGCTAATTAAATATAAATTTTCGAAATTTTGTTACTTTTTATAAATACATTTGAAATTATTAATGCCTTTCTACCTTTATATTTTTATGATTTATAATTCTATTTATGATTATTCAAATTATATTAAAAATAATAATTAAGAACTGTACGAATAATTTATAATTGTTCTAAAAATTTTCAAAATCTACTATCTATAAAATGAACACGTTCTCTAGTCTGTTGATTCTCATATTATTAAAAAATCGATACAATTCAGCATCACGCGTTTATTTTCATGTGTTTACTCTATTTTCTTCTATACTTTTTCTTATACCTATATTTTTCAAGTTATTTAAATATTGTTGTGTCTAATATCATTTCCTTTGAATAAATTTAGCAATGTATTTCTTTAAAATTTTCTTGTCTGGTGCTTCAGCTGAATCATTAGCTGAGTCATTGATGATACGTATTCTAGATAGCATAATTGCTCGAACATTCGAGGGATAGTCCCCTCTGATAGCGCGCGTTTTTCGACCCGGTTTAGTGTAATTACAGACATTCCCCTTTAGTGTTACTTATCTCAAAATGCAAGTATTTTTCTATTTTTTATTGCTTTTTATTATATATATATGTTAATATTAGTACTACCAAAAGTGCCAAAATGACTTGTGAGATTTTTTATTTTTGGAATTATTGAAAAAATACAGCTACTTTTCGCAAAATTAATATTGGTTCTTCCTCAGATAGCAGTATAATTATCTATACTTATTTATTTTCATTATATTACTTTAATTAATATCGTTTATGTAAAATGTATTTACGTAGACATTACAAGTCGATAGTATTAGTATTAATTATAATTTATTTACCCGATCACAATGAATGTAAACATAATTACATTTGATCAAAGTGCATATGTGCATATCGTCATCTATATTATTCAAGTTTGGTTTATAAAATTATCTTGTGAAACAATTATAAAAGAAAATTTTAATTATTTAACGAAGATATCAATTTTCGAAAATGCGAGTGAAACTTCTCTATGAAGAAATTCACAGATGCTTTTAATTCTTTTCTCTTCAAAACAGTATTTTTAATTTCATAATGTTTTTCACTGCAAAAGTTTGTTTGAAGTCACTACTCGACCGAAAAAAAATCATTCTCGGAGTGTAGAGAATTAAAATATTAGTTCTTACATAAAAAACCTGCGTAACTTATGGAATGACATAAAAAGTATAAAGTAAAATAGCATAATTTCCAGGTTAAACAATATGTTGTTATCGCACAAAACTGTACTGAAAATGAACATGATAAATTACTACTGATATGTACATGAAATCTACATTCTTTAACACGTTGAGTGCCATGGTGGTCATCAGTGTCCGGCGAAATTAATTTTTGAAATTCATATTTGTTTTATTCTAACCATTTTTTTTTAAATTTGAAAAATGTAAATAATTGTAGAACTTTGAACAAAAGACATTAATAATTTGTACCAATTTTTTTTGCCATATTGTTTAATAATTCATCATTGTGTTGTAAAAATAATAGAAATTTTATCATGGCCCCCTGAGCGTGCTATATAAAAAGTGGGTGGCAGTCAAAGTGTTAATTAAACTTCATTATTAAAAAAATACAGTATAATTTATTATACTGTATCATCTTTTATAAGTTTCTGATTAATTATCCTCTAATTTTAGTGCGTATCAGTACAGAGCTACTAAATTAGTAGCTATTAAAGTACTCCATGAGCTGAATATTCTTCATTATGAATTATGACTTTGAAGAGAATATGAGAAATTTATTTTTGCTTCAATTATTTTTGTAGGAATATTTGTATATCTAAAGCAGTAATATAATTTCAAAAAGTAAAAATAAACTATATAATATCTATTTTTATTCCATTTTTGTCTTTTTTTTTGTTCGTTTAAAAGGAATTTTTGTAATAACGTCTACGATTGGAATAAAATATTTAAATTGCTTAATTTATTTTGCAATAATTGAAATTTAAGATTGTGTTGCTCTTTTATGCAATAATACTTGAATGATATAAACAATTTGAAAAAAGATTATTAAGATAAAAAGATAATTAATACATAATTAATGATTTTTCCAGATGGATATTGCTTCTACTCTTTTGGAGAATGGAGCGAATGCAAATGCCGAGTCTAAAGCAGGATTTACACCTTTGCATTTAAGTGCACAGAAAGGACATTACGACATGACGAATTTGCTGATTGAGCATGGAGCTGATCCCAATCATAAATCAAAGGTACAGTCATATTTAATCGGATAAAAGAATGAATCAGTTTACGTTTTCATATTATTTTTATACAGAATTTTCCGACAATTGCTCTCTTTATATAAAATTTTTAGTAAAGAATAAAAATATTTAATTTTTACATGTGTACATTTTTTTATTATTTCTAACTCTTGTGCATGCAATTTTATTCTCTTGAATGTAAACAAAATTCAACAAATTTCTTTCTTTATATAAAACCAGAATCAATTAAAATTAAAAAATTTCACATATGTATATTTTTTGTTCTTTCTAATCCTCTTGAATATATAATTTTATTCTCCTGAATGTAAACAAAATTCAACAAATTTCTTTCTTTATATAAAACCAGAATCAATTAAAATTAAAAAATTTCACATATGTATATTTTTTGTTATTTCTAATTCTCTTGAATATATAATTTTATTCTCTTGAATGTAAATAAAATTCAATAAATTTCTCTTTTTATATGAAACCAGAAAGAATTATAATTAAAAAATTCTAAATATGCACATTTTTGTTATTTCTAATTCTCTTGCATGCAATTTTATTCTTTTGAATATAAACAAAATTCAAAAAATTTCTATCTTTATATAAAATCAAAATATTACAAAATTTTACATATGAGTACATTTCTTGTTATTTTTAATTCTCTTGCATCATATTATAGCAATGTATCTATCTTCAAAATTACACTACTGAAATTACTTTCTTACATTGCGTTATACAAAAATATGCCTTATTCTACCATTATGTTTTTTCTACATAATTATTATGTAATGATATTATGTAATGATATTATGTAATGGTATTTAATGATTTTTTTTATATGTGATAGTATTTAGTTATATTTTATAAGTAATAAATTTTTAATATTCGTGACAATTATTTTGTTCAGAATGGTCTCACTGCATTGCATCTGTGTGCTCAAGAAGATTTCATTAAGGTGGCGTCCATTCTTGTGAAAAATGGCGCGAACGTTGAAAGCGAAACTGAAACCGGCTATCGACCTATACACGTCGCGGCACATTTTGGAAATCTTTCGATGATTCGATTCCTTTTGAAGCATAACGCGAGTATCGATGTAAAAACAAATCAGAATTATACTCCTCTACACCAAGCCGCCCAACAAGGTCATGCTCATATCGTCAGTGCTTTGATAGAAGGGAACGCCTCTCATAAAGCACGAACCAATGTAAGTGTATAATTATATAATATCTTTTCAAATTTTAATTCGTGTATTTTAAATTTCGCATTTAATTTTTATTTTCTATCCATTTTTTACATATTAATTTGTAACTTTATTTTATAATTTAATTATTAATTTTAACTCTCTGAACTCTTAATTCTTCCTAAATTTTCTTTTTAACAATTCCCTAATATTATTTTCAGCGTTTTAAATTTTGCTTAAAACGAGCGATAGTAGGTTGATAGGAACCAATTTACGTAAATTTTATTTACTAATTATTTTAATCGAAATCGTTTTGATTATTATATTTAATGATTATTATATTTAACCATGATTATACAGGGTGTACCAGCATCAGTATTCAAAATCGATTTTTTCGATAACGAAGCTTCGAATGAAAAAATTTTATTTTTTATTTTCGATTTGTCTTTTCGTGTTGAATCACCCCTTTCCCGCTTATACTACTGTTGCTGGGATACCCTGAATAAGTGTACATAGATAATAATATGTGCCGATGATTGTGAAAGTCATAATATATATACTTTGTTTTGAAATATTTGAAATTTGGCACAAAAAGAGACTATTATAAAAGCTACGAAGCTAGATAATTTATTCACTGTGTTATTTTGCCAAAAATAATTTTATTTGTCATAATGTACACAAACAATTCAAAATAAGTGATAAAATAGTTTTCTTGAATTTTTAATTTGATCCACTTTCATAATTATTTACACGTATTTAAACGAAAATAATGGAAATTAATATATATAACATAAATAACGTCAGTCTTGTCAAAAGCTGCATATTCATAGTGATTGCAAGACCAAAATGTCTAAGACTGGTAATTTGGTTAATTTGCTAAGTTTAGTGTAAAGACTAGAAATGGTGATAACAACAAAATATTTTGACACTAATAGAAGAATATATGTATGAAAATTGTTTCAGGATGGATTAACAGCTTTAAATATAGCTCAAAAGTTAGGATACATATCTGTAATGGAGGTACTGAAGGGATTGTCCTACGATACGTTAGCACCTGATAATAAAAATTGGGACGAGAAGTACAAAGTCATTGCACCTGAAAGTTTGCAAGAAACTAGCTTCATGTCTGACTCTGATGACGAAGGAGGTACGATCGTTTTAGAAGTACCTTTAGTACTTATTTTAATAACATTTTCTTCTTACCATTATTGAAACATTATTTCGTAAATGATAAATTATTTCATCAACGTTAATTATTTCAAATTTGATTTCACAAGTGATAAAATAAAATCAAGATAAATTACTAAATTATTTAATAGAATCGTGTTCAGTTATTTCAGATGCTTTTCATAAGTGTTAAAAGAATTAAATAAATTTAGTATAAAATGAAAGCATGTATAATTAATATTTCATATACGTATAATGTTTCCATTTATGGTTTATAAGTGAAATATTGAACCATTGTCTTACTAAGTTGTGTCTTTTAAATTCTTGGATTTAACCCTTTGCACTGGAGAGGCGGCTCTTAGTCGTCATTTAATCAGATTCTAAAGATCGATGTTAATTAATGCATCAAATTTAAAATTACCCAACGATGCGTGGGATGTCGAAGAAAAATAATTCTACGTCTTAATTTTCATACGATTTCTTATTTACCGTTTCAAAGATATCGTCGATTTTATGGAAGAAAGTCTTCGAATTACTATTTTTCTGTAACGAAAAAATCGTCGAGTGCAAAGGGTTAATAATGTTTTACCTTTGTCTATGCGAATGTTTAATAGAAATACGATCCTCCCCCGTGTTCTAAATCAACAGGAAATTATTGTTACAAGGAAACTATCGGAAATGAGTAGTATTAATTAGGAGGTTTAATTATTATCTTCACTTACGATTTTATTCACATTTGAATAAAACGAAAATACACTTTTCTACAAAATATCTCATTCCAGTTGACACAACAAGAAATTCTGTAGAGGGATGACTTAAAGGAAACAATCTGTCTTTTAGCATTTCGAACTACAAAGTACAAAAATACTAAGTACTAAAATTAAATACTAAAATTATATTAATAAATTAATAAATTAAAAAATTAAAATATTAAAACATACACACACACGACAGACTATATTTTCTAAATCACTAGTATATAAGATTTTTATTTCAACTTAAATAAGACACCCTGTATATATAGGGTGAATCATCTAAAACTAGAACCTAAAATATCTTCGTTATTTTTAATAATACAAAAATATATGCGAGGAGGAAGATTCTCTGTTTCAAGGGGTAAATACTGCCATCAAAACGATTGTCTTTTAAGATCATATTCTTTTTGAGATTTCAAGATCATCCTCATTTTTTTTTAAATGCAATAGTACACTTTTATTATTACAGTATTGTAGCTGATAGAAAGACAAATTCATCCTACATACATATTGTACATATCATAGAATAATTGAATAATAAAATAATATAGAATATTTGTAGAATAATAGCAGAAAACATGGTATTAAAAAAGAAATATTTTTACTGTCACAGTATTGTCGCCGATAAAGAGGAACCGTCTTATATATATTACAGAATAATAAAATAATATAGAATAGTTATAAGATAATTATAGAATAATACCAAAAAACGTGATATCGAAAAAGAAATATTTTCTAAAACAAGGAACATAAAATTCAACTGAAATATTCATTTGCAGGTTCAGATGCATTGATCAGCGAACAGCCATATCGATATCTCACAGCGGATTTGATGAAAAGTCTAAGAGATGATTCTCTGCCTATTGACGTTACACGAGATGACCCGATACACAGACAAGGTAAATACCCATTGCTTATTTCCAAACGTTACGATCGTTTTACGTGATCTGTCAAATTGTTCTCGATCAGTCACGAAAGAAGAGAAACAGGACTTCACTCAAAGCAATAATTATTGTCTAGCAGAAAACTTCGATACCGATGGATTTAATTTGGGGTATGTAAATTAATTTGTGATTCTCTGGATAGCACTTAAAGCAAATTAGAATACCATTCAGTGGTTTAGTAAAGTATTAGTAGAGTAGCATTTTACGATGAGAATTATCATTAACTAAGATCAAATATTTTCATTTTCTAGCCGACTTCATTTCAGATCGTAAGTAATTTTTATCGCTACAGTACATAAACCTGATTGTACAAGCACAGTGTACCATGTATTACCACGTTATGCTATTGATTTTCTATTTTTATATATTTTTATATTATCCAAGAGAGGTTGCAGCAATGAGTGCTCTCTTCAGTTTCCTTCCTAATAATCTGTATTATTAGTGTTAGTAAACAAAATTTACTTAAATTGGTTGCTATCATTGGTTGCTAATAATCTGTGCATTGATAGAGTAAATACGTTGCTAGTAAATTTTGTATAAAATATTATTCTGTAATATAAATAATTCCCTAGGAAACGTTCTTGGCCAAACTCAATGATACGCATTACTTCATTATTTTCTTCTCGATAATAAACAAAGGTTTGAATTATTATTCTCTTTTTTGGTTTTTACTTTATATTAAACCGATTTAACATCTCGTTTTAGACCTATATTATAATACTCTATATTAAAAAAATTATAGTAATTTTTCGTATTATCGTATTTGGCTGAAAACTTTCTATCAGGAGTAGTACTATATTAATTTATATAAATTTACCTATTTGTAAAAATGTACATATCGTATAATATCTCACGTAAATTTATATAAAGCTTTTATAGACAAAATCTATAAAATATATTCGCATAAATTTTGTTACATTGTACATATATGGTTTAAGCAATAATTCGATTAGATTTTTTGAAGATACATCTTTCTTCAAATTTTATTGGATCTCGAACCAATCATTATTATTATTATGAGATATTCACAAATTTAACAAAATATAAAATGCATAAAATATTTTGCAAATATTTCATAAAAGTATATTAAATTGAAACGAAAAAAAGTATTCGTTTAATATCGCTTTGATCGTCATAAAAATTTATAATCTTCAGATTTACGAGAAAAGAGTTGATTGTAATCTCAATTTCATTGCTGTGACCTTTCTTCGTGAAATTATGCTGAAGATATATGTATATACTTTTAAATGTTTTTCTGAAATTCGTACAAATCTCTGATTATTATTTTCGCTTCGCAATTTCTCTGTTTTCTGTTAGGCTGATATCGAACGTTTACTATACAAGCTACAGCTAATTTATTTGTACACACTGTTATTATACAATTTCGACAAAACAGAACACATATACAACAAATATCTATGATGCTTAAATTTTCGATTTAATTTTCCTTTCATGTCATGTTGCCACAGATTGTAATAATTTCAAGACGATTGAAAAATATTCGCATTTCTATGTAATTTTTACGTATTTACTTATTTGCGATGGACTTGAGTAACGTTTATGATTTAAACTTGAATTTCTAGATTTTTGGTCAGTTTCTTGGTGGATGCACGTGGAGGTGCCATGAAGGGATGTAGACACAGTGGTGTACGCATTATTGTACCACCACGAAGAGCAACAATGCCAATTCGCGTTACGTGTAGATTGATAAAACCTAATAAAGTTGCAAATCCTCCTCCTTTAATGGAGGGAGAGGCTTTAGCGACCAGAATCATAGAAATGGGACCAATTGGTGCAACGTTTCTAGGGTAAATTTTACGAATCACTTTACATATTTTCCGAATATAGAAATAATATTAATTTTACAAACAATGCTTACTGTAAAGTATTTCATATATTTTAGTTTCGATATTTTTATAATTCTTATTATAACTTTCTCAATTCTTATAATTCTTATAATAATTATTAGAATTTATATTACTTTCATAATCTTTTATATTTTTTATGATTTGTAAATGTTTTATATCTTTTACAATATTTATATTTTGTACGATTTGTAAATTTTTACAATTTTTGTAATATTTATACTTTTTATTATTTGTACATTTTTTATATTTTGTATAATTTGAAAATTTTTATAATTTTTACTATATTTATACTTTTTTAAATATTTATAAGGCTTATAATCTTCCCAACTGTTATTTATATAATTGTAAAATATATTTCGTATTATTACAGTAATATTTACTACAAAAAGAATATATTTCGTTGTAGCCCTGTTTTAATTGATATACCACATTTCGCATCTATTCGAGGCAAGGAACGAGAAATTATTATTCTCAGAAGTGAGAATGGAGAAACTTGGAAAGAGCATGATAATTCTGCCGATAATGATACTACATTATTAAATACTCCTCATGGTAATTTTTTAAACTTAACACATTACTAATATTATCATTACCAAACAAAAATTTAGGATAATTACATATTCCATAAAATCAAGAAAATTAAATATATAAAGAAATTTGCCAAAAATTTTCTTGTCTCGAGCAACACTTTAAATCTTGACCAACTAATGAAAATTTTTAAAGTTAACTTTTAACTTCAACAGCACGATGATTAAGATTATTAAATTAATATTAAAATTAATAAGAGACAGATATATGGCTGTCCCAAAATTCACGCACGAAGTAATTTTGATAGAAAACACAGGTTTTAATGAAGAATTTTAAATATTGTCAACAATAAAGACGCATTGTTCTTTCATGTAGCGCGCCATTTTTAATAACACTGAACTGCCAACTGTCACGCTGTCCTTTTTTCGTTGGCAACACTTTATCGCACAAATGGCGCCAAATTTAAATCTTGCGTGAATTTTGAGATACTCTAGATGTAGATAAAAATGATTCTAAATTTTTGTCAATAGTACACATTTCATTGATACTATAGAGTAACGACAATTTAATGAATTTTCTTTACAGATCCACAAATGAGTGCTGCTCATTCCGGCAGGATTACTCGTATAATAACGACAGATTTTCCTCAGTACTTTGCTATTATCACGAGAATTAAGCAGGAGGTTCATGTAATCGGTGCTGAAGGGGGAATTTTAACATCGAGTGTGGCTAACGACGTCCAAGCTGTTTTCCCACCAGGTGCATTAACGAAGAAAATTAAAGTTGGATTGCAAGTAAGTTTGTTTATAATATTTCGCATCGTAACATTGCTATAAATTATCTGATATAACAAAAATCAAGAATTATTAAAAAGTAAGAAAATCATTAATTATACAATATAAAATTGTGAAAAACATAATTAATTATTATAAAATATGGAATTCTGTAAAACATCGATAATCATTGTAAAGTAGAAAATTATATAAAATATTGATAATTATTATGAAACATGAAATCAACAATTATTATAAAATATGAGAATATATAAAATATTAATAATTATTATGAAATATGAAATTATAAAAATTAAAAAATATAATGTGAATTATTTTTTTTACAGGCTCACGTGATTCCAGCAGAGCTTACAGCAAAATTATTAGGAAATTGTGTAGCCGTATCTCCTGTAATAACAATCGAGCCAAGAAGACGAAAGTTTCATAAACCAATTACTCTTACGATACCTGTGCCACAAGCTGCGAATAAAGGGATGATTAATCAATATGGCGGCGAAACACCAACGTTACGTCTTCTATGTAGTATTGCAGGTAAATCAATATTACTTATTTCAAGTATTTTCTAATATTAAATTAGTGTATATGAAACAGAATTTTTTAAAAATAAATCATTAAATATACACAATGTATCATATATTTGATCAAAATAATACCTGATTTATATTCATAATCAGTTCTTGAATTAAAAATTCTTTAAACGCAGCTTTTACAGAGTTTTCACTTTAAAACAATTTATTCGATCAAAAATTCTCTAATTATTTAAAAAAATGAAAGTTTGTAAATGTAAAATCAAGAAAAAAGGAACGATGTCACATAATTTTATATTCTAATTTTTCAAGTTTTTCTATGGTCATTTTTGGCCATATTTTGTATTAGATTTTAGGAAATAACGATAAATAAATTCTGTTGATAATCATTACACAGTTACCATTATCCTTAAATTATAAAGTCCTTTTAACAAATATTTTACATGTTTATCTTTATTAGGCTATAATTTTATTATATTAAAATAATAAAATTATTTTATTATTATAATAAAAATATTAGGCTTTAATTCTGTAGCTTTCAATTATAATGCAAGATCTACTTTTTCTTTTTTCAATTGTGATATAAGATCTATTTTGCCACAAGTGATATGAAGTTTCAAAAGTAGATCCTGTTCGCTTCTTTGAAGTTTGGTAATTATCTCCATTTATTCAAGATTTTGTATACCTTCCAAGCCAAGACATTTATTTTTCATTTACTTTCTGTATTATAGTCTTTCTCTTGCTTTTTTTAGTCTTTCTTCTAATTCACCTTCTAATAATACATAAATCATTATGGTTCAGTTCCAAGAAACAACATTAAATGTTTTTCCATTTAAATGCACCTTTCTTTAATGTTAAATTCGTATTTTCATCAATCTTCATAATAATTTAAAAATTTAAAGTTGTATAAAAATATCACACAAGCATAGTGTTTATTCCTGTTTCAAGGCTTCAAAACTTTTATTACAAATCTTAATTACATTCAATACACAGTTCATTATAGCAAATTTCTTCTTAATATGTTTAATATATCTAAACTTAATACTAATTAAGTTAATTTAGTATTAATACTATTTAATACTGAAACAATATTTCACATGCACTAACTCAATAATATTTACTAGCATAGCTAATATGGTCTAAAACTATAATTCTCTATTACTGTTTGGTTATTCTCTTTGCACGGTTATGAATTTATAATGATAACTCTGATGTTGAAAATACAATTCAACACACTTCCGTAAAATTTAGATTCCCCATATCATAAGTTTATCGAGCTTCTCAACAAACTGTGTTTAAGAATAAATACATTTTTTAACCCTTTGCACTTGACGATTTTTTGGCTAGAGAAGAGTAGAAATTCAAAGATTATCTACTAAAAGAACTGACGATACTGTTTTGAGCAGCAAATAAAGAATTGTATAATAATAGAATTGTAGAATTATTTGACTTCGATACTTCGCATACTGTTACATTACATTAAATTGGATACATTAATTAATATCGATCTTCCAAATTTTATGAAATGGTGACTAAAACTCACCCCTCGAGTGCAAAAGGTTAATATGGAACCCACTTCTCTTCTATATTCTAGTAATTCGAATATATTTCGTATTTAATTTCTTAATTTTAAATTTAGGTGGTACGAGTGAATCACAGTGGGAAGATGTAACCGGTTCAACACCTTTAACCTTTATGAACGACACGGTGTCTTTCACCACTACTGTGTCTGCTCGATTTTGGTTAATGGATTGCCGAAATATAGGCGCGGTTCCAAAAATGGCAACCGAGCTTTATGAAGAATCGTTATTTGTGCCGTATATTACGAAGTACGTATTAATATACATTGCATACTGTTGTATATTTAATTTAATCAATTCTCATTTATAAATACAATATTAATTGTTTTTTGTCCAGCTTTGTAATATATTCCAAACGAATGGACGTACTCGAAGCAACGTTAAGAATATTGTGTATGACCGATGGGAAGGAAGGGATGCACACCTTGGAAAGGCAAGAGGAATTTGTCGAAATTGTAAAAAGCCGTGATGTTGAAGTAAATATTGTTCATTACATATTTTTAATTTTATTTTGTTCATGAGGATTGAATTATGCATGCTTAAATGTATTATTATTTAAAAATTTTGAATTAATTCAATTAGTATTAGTCTATTATATTTGTTTTCCTTTTTTAATTATATCATTTTATTTATTCCATTTTTAATGAAGATTTTACTATTTATTGTTTGTAACGGTGTGCATTGTATTTTTATTTTCGTGTACAACAAATTTTGTTTATTTCTTGTATGTTAATCTTGTATATTAGCCTTTGTATACTTCACTTTTATTTTCATAATTTTGCAAAAATGAGCGTCTAATATTGCATTGAGAAATGCATATACATATATATATATTAATAATTATCTTGTTACACATTTTTGAAAAGCTAGAAAATTTATCAGAATATAAAAAAATGCAATTAGGTGAAAAAGTAGATAAAGGTCTTATTAATATTAACATAGCAATAAGTTGGTTTTACAATATTATTTATTTACTTTTACAATATTATTTTGTGATAAATCTTAAACTATTTCAGTATAAATCCTGATACTTTTTGTTGTATTCATTATGATCTGACATATATTATTTTAAAAAATTTTAATTAGGCAAAATAAACAATATTCTATTTATACAAAATGTATATTAAAGCATATTACAAGTAATAGAATTTTCCTGGAAATTATATAGCAAGTTAATGAATATGTACAATATTCAATGTTTATTCATCTATAAATATTTAAATATGCTAAAGTAAATAGTTGAAGTAATAGTTAAAAATAATCAAATAATTAAATAATAACTTCTTTTCTATGTGACGTTAATATTTAATTAATATAATTTGAACATAACTTTTGCCTGTTGATGTGAAAATGTTTAAAGGATGACTTTGCAAGTTTTGAATTTAACAAGTACTAAGATAGTAAAAGAAGTAGTAAATTAAATAATACGTAACATTATTCTAAACAATTATTTATTATCTGTGTAATATAACAATACATAATATTAGCATAACAATGTTAAAAATCATGCAAATTACAAATTACGGTCGAGAAATAATTTACTTGAAACCAATATTTTTATTTAAAAAAGAATCTTAATTGTGAACCTGCGTATGAAATCAATTTTTTAAATGAAATTGAAAGAAAGCTGCTATTGTGTACAATTACTGGGAAAAGTAAATGATTGATACTATATAATAATAATGAGTAATTGCAAGTGGATTTACAAATCTAGTAACTTTTAAAAGAAATGAAAAGATAATATAATTATCTAAGTGATAGAAAACGAATTTATTTAAAATTTTGTATCATTACATCAAGCCAATAGAATACTATACATTTCGAAAATATCATGGAACGTTTATTGATATATTTATAATATATGATAAACCAATCCTGGCTTCCTGCAAAAATTGGTGGACTAATTATTAATAATATTCCAACTCTCTACTATAAAAAAATTGCTATAGGAATAAGTTATTCTTATTATTTCTTTCATTTGTTTCCAATGCTAGTAACATCTTGCTTAAGAACTACTAAGGTTTATTGAAAAATTGACGAAGTAAGTATCGTAAATATTTTTTCTTAGAGATTTTAGATTTTCACACTTTATGTAGTTACGGTAAAATAAATGTTAAAGAGATATTTTCAAGTTTGTTTATTAGGTAATTTATTGAAATAGAGAAAAAGAAAAATAATTCTTTTTCTAATGCACAAATAATTTGGAATTATATACATAGACAATTGAAATCAATTCAAGACTAATCGAATAATAAAATCCCAGTTTATTTATATTTATTTATATATATAATATCCGATTTATATGATTAGTTTCATTTACGGGGAAAAACATTAAAAATACTAGAGAAAATAAAAATAAACAAAAAAAAGAAAAGAAAACGATAATTATTCTTTTAATAATACAGATGATAGGATGTATTAAATACACTATATTTTATACTTTTTTACAAGTTAAAAATTGCATATTACACTGTGGAGACAATGAATAGCTCCCATAAGAATTATAGGTATATATTCTCATATATTTTTATGTTTCTACAATACCGAAAGTTTTTATTCTTATGGTAATAGTTCAAATTGTTATTTGGTCGTTAAAAAAACGATTTTTATGTTTTGTTTAAATTTGATTGTCTTGTAATAATTATCATTCATATTTAATTTGTTGAAAAATTTGGGTCAAGCTACTGTATACCCTAAATTTATTAATCCTGAGCATAGAGCTAATTAAACAAAATAAAAGGTATTAGAAATATTATTAATATTCCTTAATTATTACCACATTAAGACAATTTAAATCACTTAAGCAGATTATCAAAGCTTTACCAGATATAATAATTTATATACATAGTAACAATACAGTTACAATGATATTTCGTTGATACAATTTATTAAAATTAAAAACTAAAATATTCGTTTATCAACCTTGGTCTCCCTTATTGTTACATTAAATGTTCTTTCAAATTATCATTTTCAATCATGCCATACAATTGTATATACATATGTATGTAAGTATTTAAAAATTGAGAAAATCATGACTTAGGTATGATCAATAAGATAATTTTTATAATGACAATGCTAGTAACAACGTTGGAATAAATTTAAAACCATACAATGATTGCAAAAAAGAAGAAATACCTCATCAGAGATTTGAATGAAGTATTACGATAGTATTTAATTATTTTTAATTTTTAAATATTGTTTCCTCTAATACCTTTAATTGTTTAAATATTACTTGCTAGTTTGCAAAGATGCTCTAGGTAGTTCATATAACTGCTTAAGTTATCATTTATGGAATATTAACACATCTCACTCAAAAGACAATTTATTCTCTTTCTCCCTTTCCATCTTTTTAAAGGTTGTATCAACCTGAAAGTCATTAGCAATTATGTTATAATAGTAATAATATAATTTACAATAATTTGAGCCTAAATTAGGTGTAATAGGTTAATAGACTTAAGAAAATCTATTAATTTCTTGTAGTGAACACATTTCTCTTCAATTAAACTTATATGAAATAATCCCACAATTTCTGTGTGGATCAGTGTAATCAATAGTGCTTAATATTTGAGGTTTAAATGAAAAATCAGTGACAGTTAAATTTTACATCTGATAAGTGATCCACTAACGAAGACCTAAACCTGAAAAATTTTTAATCAAATCTTTCCAAAATCTTTCACTAATGTCTGCTAAAAAAATTCTTCTAAATAAAATTTTATCAAATTCTCAAAATTGGTACAAAAAGAAGAAAATATTGAAAAGGTAATAATTTTTATTCACTTACACGAAATCACTAGCTAGTGGAATAATCTAGCAATCCAACAACAATCAAAAATGCAAGATAACGTGGTTCTATTCAAAGTTCCATTTTTGAATAAATCGATGTCGAAGATTCGAGTACAAATGCTTACACAAGGTTTCACTTGTGCTACAATCTAATAGATATAGTTATAAAATAGTTTGTAAAGCTGTTCACCTATTAGTCACGTTGTATAATAACGAATGAATAACAAAACCAAAGTCGACTTTACTAAACAATTATTTAGTAATTAAATAATTATTTCAAGCATAAAAATTATTATTTTTAAATGCTCAAACAGAAAAATAATTCTTTGTTGGGGCTTATGCACGTAATCCTCTTGATATACATAAGAGACTTAACATAACTTTATAAGTAAAAATCAGAAGGTTACCTTCTTACAAGCTATTGAAACTTAAATGAAATATCAGTGCAAGACAATCACAGTGCAACAGATGAAAAATCTGGTTTTTAATTATACGTATACTAAAATGCTATGATCGAATAACTGAAAAAGCAAATTGTTAATTCTTTTCATTTCATGAACGATATTATATAGATAATCACATTTTTATAAATATCACATTTTTTCCAAATCCTATAATTAAATTTCCATAATTTATTTATATTTTGCACGTGTAAAATTCCTAGCATTATCGAAAATGTATATACTTCTTGAAGTTCAGAAATATTTAATTATTTAGCAGGTTTCGACATTTAAAATTTATTTCAATAAATGTATCAGCTATTGTTGATTATGCTTTAAACAATCTCTATTACTATTAGCTTGCTCTACGATTTAATTATGAAAAATTATATCCTGAAGTAGCATTTAACTTTAGTCAAACACTATATACCTATGCCATCCACGTAAAATTAGATCAAAATTTTAGAAATTTTTCGAATTTTGTGTACGTCAGAACGTGTGAAATATAATTATGGTCACGAGATTAGTATAGCTTATAATCATAAGATTTGCTATGAAGAATTCGTCACGAGTTAGACTCGTCTTTGTAGTGCAAAGGGTTAAATCTAGAGTACAACAATATAACTATTATATTTTCTGAAGCTGACAATGAGTACAGCAGATGTTTATTTATAAAATAATATCAAGTTTCTTTTCTGTAATAGAAATATTCCAAACGAAGAATAAATAGATTAAAAAATTAATATCTGGGTATTTAAAAGCAGAGGATACTCTAGTATTCATTAAAATATAGTGTAAAAAAGTTATTAAGTTAGAAGAAACGTGAGAGTTATTTTTCATAATTAATAATTATTTCAACATCAATAAAAGCCGTTAAATAAAGAACACTTCAGCTTTATTACTCATCTATCGTTATCTGATACAATAAATACGAATAGAATCATAACAAGTGTTTGTAGTTAATGAATTATTAATATCGGTTTACTCAAAAAAAAGCTTCAAATGCAAAAATTGTTATTCTACATTTTCGACTTATCTTTCTGTATAAAATTAGTCCTTTTATACACCTCGTTTATACTACCAATTCAATAATACTCTAGAATTAAATACGGACAAAATAAAATTATATTTTCATCAATAACAGATCGGTGAAAATTTAATAAAAAATATTAATTTTTTCATTGGCAGATGACTCGTTCTGGAATTATTTCATTGAACTGTCATAGACGGATTGCGTAATGTTCGAACATTCTCTGCTGCTCCTTTGTCTTATTAGCTCTCGCGAAATCTGATAATAAGATCAGGCCAACAATTAAGTGAACCCATTTTGTGATCACTTATCCAGAAACTTCTGTATTTTCTAAAACTGATTAATTTTATGAAAGCTTAATATCGAATTAATCAGAAGAAAAATAAGATATATTCAACTATTTTCATATGAATTATTTATAAACGTCTAAAGATATATATGTATACAGAATAGACTACTTAATGTGACTATCTTATTCATTTTTGTTATTAGTGGACCAACTAAAATTTTTATTTTCATAGATAATACATTTTCGCAAATAGTTTCAAAACGATATTATTTGGTTTATGTTTTTTTCCTTGAATAAACTTTTTAAACCTTTTTGTGTACAATCCTATAATTTTTCTTAACTATCGTGAATATCGAGACGAACTCAAAACAATAATGAAAAAATAATGAAATAATAATGAAAAAATATAGAGAGAAAGTAATTTTATAACATTTATTTTTATAAATAAGGAAAAGTTAGATCTATGACATTAATAACATAAAATATGCAAGGAGATCACATTAGGTTGCATTACAAGTTGATGCACTTGTTAACAATAATATTTAAGAAAGTGTCATAAATACTTTTTACAAAATTAAAAATAAAGCAAAGAAGAAATGATTTACTTACAATTAGTAAATCAAAAAGAAATAAAGTTAATAAAAATAAAAATAAAGTTCTGTTGCAATCTCATACACTAAAATATTATTAAATTAGATTCATAAGTATTCTTTTAATTATTTAAAACAAATGCAAGAATTACAGGTACTTTAATGACCTGTAAAAACTAATAAAAAATAAAAAAAAAAATAAAACATTAGTGAATGTATTATAACGTAGATATTAAAATTTAAAAGAATTATTAAACTTTATATACCCTCGAAAACTTATCTCAATTTCAATATTTAATGTAAGATATATACTATAAATTACTAAAGGTAAAATTTTGAGGGTCCTTACAAAAATGGAATCTCGATAATCTTCTAACAAATCTCCTCCTATATACTTCTAAATTTAATAACTTTCATGACTGTTGAACAGCTTGCTATACAATAATAAAAATTATATATTGTTATACAAATAAGAATAATAAAAATTATGTAGATATTTAAATAAATAAATTTGTTTACAGGCACTCGATGGGAAAGATCTATATATTGAATTCAGTGGAAATTTAGTACCTGTGACGAAATCGGGTGTACAATTGAAATTTACTTTTAAAGCTTTTCGTCAAAATCGCTTATCGTTCCACGTGAAAGTGAAAGATCCTTTGTTAGATCCGGTGGCTAGGATGTTGTTTATGCGAGAACCGAAAGTCGCGAAAGGGGAACCCCCTCAACAACCAATTTGCGTGTTAAATATTGTTCTTCCAGAAATTACAACTAAGGTCGAAGTACAAAAGAAATTGAAAGGTACAATTTTTTCCATACTTCATGTACACATGCACTAATCATGTGATATTTATTCTGCAAATATAAAAAAAAACAACGTTGTTCTTCCTTTCGTTATAGATTACGAAGATTCGAATATTATTAGTCAAAAACTGGAATCTTATGAATCGAAATACAAGATGGAACAAAAGGAAAAAGGTGACGAACCTAAGGATATTTCGCCTTCAAAAAAGAAATTTATTACCGACACCTTGCAAAAGGAACGAACAGGTATGGCATCTATTTTTATTTGTCCATATTAGACGAATGGTAACGTTAGAGCAATGAAGGAAATCTGAAATATAAAGTTCGTTAGTTCGCTATAATCACATATAAAAATTAGTAATCGCGGAACACCGATTATTTTAATTCAGTATACAAATGCAAGGTGCAAAAAAGGAAATTTATATGTTTAGACGTGATAAGAAACAATGTATTGTAAGACACGAATTGCTTTAACGATCACACAATTGTATTACTGCAATAAGATATATGAACGAATTATAAAACTCGTCAATAATGGCGATCGATATGTACGGTATCTTGGTTATACCTGGTATTATATTAAAAAAGAAAAGTTATCTTCAAGACAACTCTGTTCCATACGGTAGCAAAATTCCACTGTAATTCTATTTTCATTTAAGAGGAAAAGTTAATCTGCTTATGGCTCGAGCGTTGAGTGAGGCTTCTTTAATTTAATTATGCATAACAGTATCAACAAACGTTCGATGTAGCTATGACGAACTTGTTTAGTTTGATCTGAACCACTGCTGGAAGCACTACTTTTAAAAGCTATCCTCTTTTGAGTATCACCCTACCTCAGTTTCAAACATGTGAGTTTATTTTACTGAAATTGTGTTACGATATCTGTTACACTTCTTACTTTCACTTTATTTACCCATAACATCACTCTTATATTTCTGTTCGTTTTAAACATTAATTTTCATTTCTTTTACAATTTTCAGTTTCAGGTTTTTTTAAGTTCTTTAGTAATTTGCACTTAAGGTCCATACGATAACCTTTAAAAACCAAAAAGAAATCTATACTCGAGAGATATCCTTCATCATGGAAGAAATAAGTGATAAACAAGAAGAAAAAGTGGAAATAGAAAGTTGCACGTTAGAATCAACGAATAAGAATGGATTATCCATCGATAAGGGCGTATCTGCCGATAAAGTCAGTACAGATTCTCCAGAGCGAACCAACGAGCAAATAGAATTAAAGAAGAATGAAGAAAAGACCGTAGAGTGCGCGCAAGTCGTTGATGGAATTTCATGTCCATCAAAACCGAAAGAAAATGTTACAGGAACGAAGGTAAAGCGTAAAATGAGATCGACTCGTAGAAAATTGAATGCTATGATTAACAATTCGTCGTTACATTTTTCTGATACCGATTCTGAAGGAGAGTTAACAACGATTAATTCTCAAATCAGAGCATTAAATTGTACAGATGAGCAACAAGGACCAATTATTTCTGTTACATCGGACGATGTGGAAGCTGAAGGCTCTAATTATTTATCATCCGATGATAAAGGGCCGATTCAGCGTAATAGCTTCGTTGAAAATCTAACGGATGTCGATGAAATTTACCCAAGCGAATCGGAGAACGAACAAAAAGAGAATCAGAATAACCTTAAAATTGCCAAGAGTTTTTGTCAAGGAGAAACGGATCTCGAAGATTTCGAAGTTGAAGGTGAAATACACTCAACGATCTATATAAAACCGAGGTCCGATATATTCTGTGACTATAGCGGAGAGACAATAACAACTAAGGAAGGTGATGGACCGTTTTCCGTTGAAGTACGAAATAAAATATATCGAGAAGAGGATCGACGTAACGATGTGTTCACTAGCATGCCAGATATTGTGGTTATGTCCAATACTGACGAAGAAGATATGGATATATCTGAAGAGGAGGAAATACAAGAAGCCTGCTGTAGTCAAAAAGAATTTCTTGAGGATTTGGATGCCCTTGTAGCGTCTCAAGTTGTTATGAAAAATATTAATAAAATGGAAAACATGTTAACTGTTAAAGATGTCAGTGATGACGGGACTAGCGATTGTCATACCGATGTCGAAGAAGTTGATCCGAATGAATAAATTAATTTGAAATATGTCGACGGTAAGGATATGATTTTACAAAATACGCTTTTTGGCGAAAGATATCATACTATTCGAATATCATAAAAATCTGATCTGTATTAGATCTAGTTTATCCAACTATGTATTGGATGTAATGCAGAAATGCATTGGATATCGTTCCTTATGTTATTCGATATTTATTTAATATAATATATGTATGTTATAAAATTGTACAGCATATATAATGAATATCAAATGACTTAATGTCATATTGAACATAATATTTATGAAGAAATTGTGAATATTCTATGAGTGATAAAGGATTACTTATTGCTGATTGTGACATACCTAAAAATGCTCTTATTGTTAGAGTAATCTTTTCGATTATATTTTTATTATAAATGAAACTATATATCATTCATTTGAGCTATAAATGAACTTTATAATATATATTAAATTAAGAATATTGATCATTTGAAATTTAAAAGAAATAGGAGAATATATATAAGTTTAAAATTCATATATTCTTTAATGTAACTTAAATTTATTTAATTACATATGTTATATCTTTTGCTCATTTATGAAGACCAAACTTAATTATTTGTATGATTCTAAAATGTATTACTTATAAAAAATAGGTTTTATTCTGTATTCTTATAAATCACATGCTCTGTGTAACTTTAATATTTATAATGTTAACTTTACTTTTCAGTTACAAAAATATGTTTTTTGTTATAATTTTGAGTATTTTCGTTTGAGTAAACATTCTTTTCTGAGTATTTTAACTTTTTATACAATCATTAAAAATATATTAAAGATCTTTTATAATTTCAAATATATACCTTTTAAGGTATTTAAGAAAGTAATTTAATTAAAGTGTATGTTAAACTCATAGTATATAGTATTTGTGTTTTGACAATATAAATATTTTTTCATGATTGTTACTTTTTTGGAAACCCCAATTGTCAATTTGAATTATGTATGTTGTTGCAAATATGCACGTGATCAATACTTATGCATTAAACATGTAATTAATAATCAGATTCCAAAGTCAGAGAAGCAAGTAAATTTCCTTTTTTAAAAAAATTATTTGAAACAAAAATTTTCAAAAATTAAGAGAATATTTCAGAAAAATTATCAATGTCTTTATAAAACATATTTTTGTAATTTTATACATGTGTGGAGTAAACATTTTAAACAATAAACTAAGATAAATCTCTGCGCATTATTTTAGGTCATAACATGTTGAAGCACTAACGAGGGAAAATTTGTATGTATATTTACTTCAATCAATTTATTTTGATCTTTATTGTGTTCATAAACCTAAAATTTTCTACAAGTACCTTTTCTTTCCTTTTTGCACCATGCTTTGGGTAAAATTTTTGCTACTTTCATTTAGAGTCTAGGTATAAATATTATAATTAACAATTGGAATGAATTGCTGTAAGCAAATTCAGTATACACATGTTGGAAGAATTTACTCATAAAAAACATTTTTGCTTTAATGTTATCATTTAGTATTAACACAATCTTCTATACTTATACTTGCAGACAAAACTGCCGTCCTCAACATTATTATAGACAACCGTATGGGATATTAATTTTAAGTCTCAAAGGACACTAATATCCACCGATATTAATATAAAAAAAAGAGAGATCACAGCTTATAAAGGAATTTAGAGTTATATGTATATCATGCTTATATACACTGTGTGCATGTTACAAGTTCAAAGAAATTATTAATACCTCGATGATGAAACTTATTTTTGAAATTGTATTTATTTTTAAAAAGATGTTGTTATATGTACAGTAACAGAGTTTACGATAGTGTTGTGTCTATAAAGTTTTGAAAAGAATGCTATAAAATATAAAAATCATGTTTACGCATTATGCTTGTAAAAGTTTGATCACATAATTCCTTAAGAGTTATATGAGATTGTAATTATACACAATGTATTTCATGCATTATATGTATTTACCTAATAAAAAGTAATATGAGCATAATTCTTGGTTGTTCTAGATGCTGTCACTATCCACGAATTCCTTGCGCAAAAAGCGGCTTGTTCCCTAGAATCTGTAGATGCTAGTTATCCCAGTAAAGTAGTCGAGCAAGAGCAAGACTTGTCACCCAGTGTCGAGAGACAAACCTATTCAGAGAAGAGGAAATTCTGGGAGGATATTTCGAAGAAACGAGAAAGTTATCAACGATCAGAATCCGAAGTATCAAGAACGTCGCAGTTAACGATAAATGAAAGTGATAGTGAGTATATACAGAATGTTATCACAGAGGATACAGCAGACATTGTTCAGCAGATTGACAAGTCTGAGACGTTAGAAGATCTAAACGTACCTGATATTTCCGAATGTTCAGTAGCAGAAAAGGCTCAGTACTTTGAGGAACAAATACAAAAAGAAACTACAAAACTTCCGTCTAAGACAAGTCAACAAGATACGTTAAAATCTGAAAAAGAGAAAGTAGTAAAAACTAAAATAAGTGAGAAAGAAAAGCTAGATAAAGATGAGAAATATGTAACTGAATTGGAAGAAACTAAAATGATAGAAGAAACAAAGGAAGCTGTTATCTTAGAAACAGAAGAAAAAAGAATTTTTGAACGAAAAGAAATGATGAAATTGTCTTCTGAGGATGAGAAAGAAAAAGATGAAAGTAAACAAATTTATACGGAAGTAAGCGATGTAACTGTAATCTCTGTTTCTAAGAAAGAATTAAGCAAAGAAGAAGATTTCGCGAAACCTGATAAAATTAAGACTGAAAAACCAGTTAAACCTGAAAAATTAGAATTGGTAAAAGATCAATTAGTTGAATTAAAAGTTGAACATGTTACAGAGAAGGAGGATGAAACAGTTGTTATCGGTAAAGTACCTGTACAAGATATTATAAAAGATGTAAAGATAGAAAAGGAAGACATACAAAAGTCAATTATGGAATTAAGCACAAAAGAGATAAAAGATATAGAAGAAGAACATAAAGATGTTCTGGAATCTGCACAAATAAGTGCACAACAGTTTATAGACGAATTTCGTTTTCAGGAAACAGGGCGGGCAGTAGAAAAAATGAAAGTGCAAGAATCTATTTCTGGTGCAGGAGAAAAAAGAATAAAGGAGAGTATAGAAGAGAAAGAAAAAGTATTGGAAGTATCCAAAGCAGAAATAGATGCATATGAAGATACCATAAAGGAATCTATGGAAGAAACAGAAAAGAAAGTGGTGAAATCTATACCAGAAGTAAAGAAAAAAGAAGAAGATATGAAGGAAAGTATAGAACAAAAGAAAGCAGAAGAGCAAAAATCTATTTCAGAAATTAGTACACAAGGAAAGGTTATAAAAGAAAGTATAGAAGAAAAACAAGAAAAAGTACAAAAGACTGTTATAAAAGTAAGTGCAGAGAAAGAAAAAGTCAAAGAAACCATAGAAGAAAAAGAAAAAGAAGTGCAAAAATTTGTTACAGAAATCAGTTTACCGGATACTGGTAAAGAAAGTGTAGATCAAAGAGAAAAACAAGATACTGTTACAGAAATAACTATAAAAGAAGAAAGTATAAAAGAAGATGGAGAAAAAAAAGAACAGGTACAGAAAGATGCAGTAGAACTGAGTGCAGAGCAGAAGCATATACAGGATATCGAAAAAAAACAAAAACAAATACAAAAATCTATTATAGAAATAGAAAAGAAGGACATTGAAGATAAACATGAAGAATTGCAAGTGGCAATGGAACCCATGAAGAAAATACAAAAGGAAGTGCAAGAGCTTGTTACAGAAATAAAATTACAAGATGTAATTACAGAATCAGAAATTAAACAGAAAGAAGCACAAGAATTCTCTCTAAAACCAAGTGCACCAGATGATATTGCTAAACATGTAGAAAAACAGGAGAAAGAAATAAAAGATGTTGTTACAGATATAGTAGTGCGAGAAAGAGTTGGAACGCCGGAAATAAGAAAGGAAGATATCATTAGAGAAAAATCGAGTGGAAGGCGTATTATAACAGAAGAAACTACTATTATTTACAAAGTACAGAAAGATGGGACTCTGGTACAGGAACAAGTATTGAAATCTGTTCAAGTAGAAGGAGGAAGTGATGTGTTAGGTGCACTAGCTCATATTCCTGAGCATAGAATTGAAACAAAAAGAATAGAATCAATCACTGATATTAAACCTAAAATTACTTTTTCAGCGGATATTAAAAAGGAGATGCAGAAGTTTCTTGAAGGAGAAAAGAAAACAGAAAGTGAAGTCACAGACAAGGTTATGGAAGAAGTGATACCAGTTGAAAAGGAACAACCGGAGAAAGTATCTTTTGTTCCAGAATCTACGTATAAAGAACCAGAAATAAAAGAAAAAGAAGAGGAATCACAAAAAGAAGAAAAGGAAGAAAGTGTAATTGATAAAAAAACAGTAACTGAACTTGAAGCCAAACATATTAAGAAGGAATTTGAGTCTCGTATTCCTATTTCAACAACAAAGATAGATAAAGATAAAGTTCAAAAGGAAACAAAACCTAAAGGCACAGCAGAAATAAAACTTCCTATTAAACTTGAAACTGAAAAAGAAATAAGTATAGAAGAACAGGATATTTCACCAACAACGAAAAAGAAAGAATTCGAATCCCGAATTCCAAAACGTGTCATAGATGTTAAAACAACGCCAGATAAGCCTGGAAAGAAGGATATGCATATTAAAAAAGAAAGTGAATCGTATACAATAACGGAAAAGAAATCAAGCGAAGAAGTAACCTCAAAATTGGAGGAGCATTTAACTACTAAAAGTGAAACGCAAACGTTCTCCAAAACCTTCACTGATCCTCAAGAAGCTTTTAAAATGTTCGAGGATATGGATAGAGCCAAAACTGAGTTTGCAACAGTCACCTCCAAGATTGACCATAAAACTTCAACTATGCTGGAGCAGAAGGAAGTGGTATCTTCAGAAATTTCCAGTGGTACAGACAAGGTTATCACGCTTGAGGAAAAGCAACATGTAGAGAAGAAGAAATCGTCGGAGTCGCAATTGAAGAAAGAATCACCGACTGAAATGTTGGAAGAGAAAAAAAGCAAGCGCGAGGAATTAGACAAAACTGCAACTCAAAAGATGTCGATGAATTTGACAGACACGCAAGAGGTAATAGACGCGTTTGCATCTGAATCAAGAGCTGAAACGAAGAAAGAAGAAATAACTAAAAAATTGTCTGACAAAGAGGGAGTCATGACTCACATGGCAGGTACTAGTATATTAAGAGAAAGCGATGCTGATGTAGCCATTCGAATAAAGAAAGACATTCCTGAGAAAGGTGTTGATAAAGATGATTTGAAAACAGTTGAAGGAGAGCCAGCAACGGAAAGGATATCCAAACCAGTCGTAGATTCGGATCACATTGAGACACTTGCTCAAGGAGAGTCACATAAGGAAACTAAAGAAAGTTTCGACATTACTCAATTTGTGCCAAGTGAAAAGAAACCAGAAGAAAAAGATTTGTTGAAAGAAGAAAAACCGAGTGAAGTGATAGAAGAAGAAGTACCACTGACAGAAAGTTTGGAAGAAAAACAGCGGCAGAAATTTAAAGAAATCGAAGCACGAACCATAGCAGAAACGTTGATTCAGTCGATCGAAAGTGAAATTGAAGCCAAATCAGCAGCAGATTTGAAGGCAGAGTTACTTAGTAAGGGATATTTGGAACAAATTATAAGCGAAAGCGTTGAAACGGATCACGAAAAACTGGCTGATGATTTAACACGTAAATTCGAAAGCATCATGAAGATGTCGGTGGACCAGCAGATGGTACCATGTAAAGTAGATCAAAGTTCAATTGAATCACCGAGACTAAGGTCTTCGATACAGGAAGAATCGCTAGAGAAGAGTTCTACCAGGGACAGTATAAGCGTCAGTGAAGATATAACTAAAGATGAAGAAACATTTTCGCACGAGAAAGATGAAAGCTTCCCTCTGTCATCGTCACAAGCTAAACTACAAGATAGAGAAATTGCCATGAGCCCTAGTACTATATCTGAACAGATAGACTTCGAAGAAACTATCGACGTTGATACGAACGAACTGGAAAGTATATCGAAACCAACATTAAGTCCACTATCTGAGATCCAACGATCGACCAAATCTAGCAGTCAAGTGGATCTACAAAGAGATTTCCATAGCGACTTGAGTTTTCCTCAGGATAAAATTGTATCTGAAATTTCAGGTGCTAGAGTACTGGAAATTCTTGAGCCTGGTATGGACAGTCAATCTAGAGAAGATTCCGTTGATGTGCCTTCTTTAGAAATGGACGAATATAAAATTTCCGAACAAACTAGTAGAGGGATTCCATCGTTACATGAAAGCGCAGAAATGGATTCGTTTGAAAGGTTAGTTCAAGAACGGGATATAACTATCAGTCCTAGTACCGTGTCAGAAGATACAAATATAGATTACTCTTTAGTACAAGAGTCTCTTCCTATTTCGATGCAAAGAGAACATCCAATGATAAGCACGAGAAGAGCGGATAGTTTTGAAATTGAAAGTCCTCCACTAGTCTCTCCTAAACCGAAGGTTCGTGGGCTTGAGATTAAACCTGTCGATTGGATGATTGGTGACGAGAAAATTGAAATATCGGAGACATTACAGCCATCTCAAATTTTTAATCAAGAATTAGAGGCGTATGAATCGATGAAGAAAAAGGAAAGATTATCTTCGTTGGATGGATCAACCGATCTTGAACAGGAATCCGGTACTAAATCTTCTGAAGATGTTAGTGTGATAGAATCGATGAAAGAAACGATCACAGATGACGGTCGTGGTACTCCGTCGGTTGGCAAAAGTAAATTTACTGTAATTCCTGTTAGCGAACAAGATTTTGAAAACGAATTGGTGGAGAAGAGGTTAGATATAAGTTGTCAGGAATTAGTTGACACGTTACAGCGTGAATATGATGCAAAAACTCCTATTAAAGAATATGTAGAAAGCATTCAGCGAGAGATATCTAGAGAACAAATCATGGACCTGGAGAAACGTGAAGAAGAGTCTTTGCTAGTAGACATATGTACTCCTGAAGAAGGTACCGAAATGGCAACAACTACTGCAGATTTATATATTGAGAAATCTTCTGAGGATCTAAGAAAAGAAAAAACGATGAAAGATGACGTGATTAAAGAAGAAAAGATTAAAGGTGAGGTAATTAAAGACGATGTGATCAAGGAAAAAGCAATTAAAGTTGAAGTTATTAAAGAAGAAAAGATTAAGGATGAAGTGATCAAGGACGATGTGAGTAAAGAAGAAAAGATTAAAGTTGAAGTGATTAAAGAAGAAAAGATTAAAGATGAGGTGGTTAAAGACGATGTAATTAAAGAAGAAAAAATTGAGGTTGAAGTGATTAAGGACGATGTGATTAAAGAAAAACAGATTAAGGATGAGGTGATTAAAGACGATGTGATTGAGGAAGAAAAGATTAAAATTGAAGTGATTAAAGAAGAAAAGATTAAGGATGAGGTAATTAAAGACGATGTGATCGAGAAAGAAAAGATTAAAGTTGAAGTGATTAAAGAAGAAAAGATTAAGGATAAGGTGATTAAAGACGATGTGATTAAAGAAGTAAAGATTAAAGATGAGGTGGTTAAAGACGATGTAATTAAAGAAGAAAAAATTAAGGTTGAAGTGGTTAAAGGAGAAAGGATTAAGGTTGAGGTGATTAAAGATGATGTGAGTAAAGAAGAAAAGATTAAGGATGAGGTGGTTAAAGACGACGTGAGTAAAGAAGAAAAGGCTAAGGTTAAGGTAATTAAAGATGATGTGAGTAAAGAAGAAAAGATTAAGGTTGAGTTGACTAAAGAAGAAACGATTAAAGATGATGCGCTTAAAGATGACACGATTAAAGATAAATCTAAAATTTCTAAAACTGATCAAGATAAACGGGAAGAAGCTGTTTCAAAGCCAGACATTGAACTGAAACTAGAGAAGACAACGAAATCGTTAAAGGAAAGCGAGAAGCCAGTGGAAGAAACAGCACAGGGGGCAACTGAGTCTGATAAACCAGTATGCATAGATGACGTATTAAAGGAATGGACGGAAGCTTATCTGTCGAAATTGAAACCCATGAGCGACGAGTATAAAAGGCATATGAAAAAAGCTGCAGAAAAACACGATAAGCCTGGAAGATCCACGACAGTTCCTTCCGACACTTGTGCCTTTAAAATAAAAAGAGATGATCTCCCTAGTGTTGATTTAAGTGCACGATACGCTATAACTGTTCTAGATCAGGTAGTGAAAAAAGAAATTGCCGAAGTGAAAGAGTCTTTAGAGGCAGCAAAACAAGACCTGATAGAAGAGTTAAGCGAAAATAGTGAAACTGTGATTCAAATTAAAGATTCCCCTTCAGAGTTCCGGTTTAAACTACAACCTGAATCCATTCCGAACGATTTACCATTTTTATACGCGCCATCATTTCCTGAACAAACTCACGAATCAGATACGGAAGCAATAAAGAGCGAATCTCCTATCGATAAATCAATGCCATACGAAACAAAAGATAGTACTGAAAGTAAAATGGACGTAGAGGAATCTACTTCCAGTAGTATCGAAGAACCGGTAAATCTAACACAAGGAGATACACCTGTGATTAAAACTGAAAAGTCTGACATAGAGACTGCTCCAATAACCGTCCAAGAAGATTCAAAAGACGATGAAGAAGAACATCCTAGTCCTGTGCCTGCTAGTATGTCAGGTTCAGATATAGACAATAAAGATGAAAGTTCTTCTTTGGCTTTGCCGCGTCCAGTACTCAGAAGACGACAGAAACCCGGTAGAAGTTCTAAACGTGTTACCTCTGAGAGTGATGCGGATCTTGGTTCTAGTTCCGGCGAAAGTAGTAATTATCAATCTTGCGACTACGAGATTGGTAGTGGTAGCCGACCTAGTTCTTCCGACGTAGAAGCCTTACATTCCTGCGGTATACCTTCGACAACGGCTTCGGAATATGAAACTGCAATGATGTCTATCGACCATTCTTCCTCTTCTAAGCAAACTTCTCAGGAGTATCATACAGCTGCCACTACAATGAGCTCGCGTGAATCCATGAAATCTTTAACTTCTTTGAGTTCAGGTCACCTCGGCAGTATCGACAGTACCAGTGAATTGTCAGAAACGCTGGTGGCCTCTGAAGCGGATCCGGATAAAGAGGAAGTAGAAGAGGACCTCGATGGAGCCCTCGATGAAGAACACACCGAACAGTCGGATTCTTCGGGTAGTGACATACCAATTGATGAACCAATTGATAACATCTATAGTCGCATACCTTGTCGTATGAAAAGATCATCTGAAATGATCTTTCCACAGGTCCTCGAAGATGCTGCCCGTGATGTTGAATGCGCGAAGGAAGAGGCGGCAAAGGAAGTGAAGGGAGTTGATTTTGCGACGTCCACGTCTACGATGACACCAGGTACATTACAATCTGTAGATATAATGACATCGCGAGTTTTCGAAGATGGTGTACAGAGTGTATCTACTCAAGTGATTTCGACTCAAGCAGCAGCAGAGGCAGATTCGTCCATGGAAAAATTTGAAAGCCAAGCCTTCGACACGGAAACAGCTGAGAGGGACATGGAGGAAGTGATGTTGGACGTGCCAGTAACAGAGTCTGATCTGTTAGATCAAAAAGGTGCTGCGACAAGTGCTCTGAGCGAAAGTCCCGAGATGTCCGTACAAACATCTATACCGTCAATGATGCAGCAAGCTAGTATGTCAACATCTTCGACATCGGGTGTGTCTATCGATACGGTGATAGGAAAAGAGAAATCAGATCGTCATTCACCGGATAGCGATTCTTTCGAGATGGTTGACAAACCTGACATCATCGACGACTTCGTAGTTGTAGAAGAGGTTGGTAAAGAAGCTGAAGAATATGATTCAGAAGGTAAAAGTATACGTATTAGTACTATACCGCAAGCAATCAGCAAACATTATGATCGGGACCTCGACAACTTAATAACCGAAACCAAAGAAGATTCGCAGGTATCTACGAGTCAAGCATCGAAGACTAATGAGTTATTCGATTTTGAATCAGAGGAGAGTCCACCTCAAGTGTCAAACGACGATCAGTATTCACAATCCTATTCGGATGAGGAGCAATACGAGGGAGGAAAAAAGTGGATAGAAATGCAATTCCACGCAGATTCTCGAGTTTACGATATTGAGTATGATCGAGGTCCCCTAGAGGATATAAAAGAAGAAGAAATAACCGATTTTGAAGCCGGTAGTAGTAGATTTGGAAGTTTAGGTAGCCACAAGGAATCGATAGGAAGCGTGGGTAGCATGCGCGGTAGCTTTGGAAGTACTCCAGATTACGATGTCTTAACAGGTAAAAAGTATTTCACTAGACCATCCGATCACGATAACGTGTCGTTAAGCTCTCTGCAAGAGTTCGAACACTTAGAGAGTGCTGTTGCTGCTGAGAATTCTAAAAAATTACAATGTGGTTCGCATGATTCTGTTAATAATGGTAGTCTTCCAAGAAGGTACACGACAAGTCGATCCGGCCATGGTGACGATATCTCACTGTCTTCATTGAAGGATTTCGAGGGGCTGGAGAAAGCCTGTAGGGAAGCACACTTAATCGAACTGCGTGCCAGAGAAGAAGAAGACTTATTGGAACACGAAAGTCCCGAGAACAAGTACAAATTGGAAAGTCTACCACGAACGAGGGTCGACACTGCTGGCTCGTTCAATGCAAGTACGTCAGGGTCAGATGATTACGAGAAGAGAATAAAGGAAATAGACGAAATCATACGAATAGCTCAGTCGAATGTGGAGAAATTCGATCGACAAGATGACACGACGGACGACATTTCGCAAATTGAAATTACGGATGCCGAGAAAGTGGTAGTACAAGCTGGTATACAAACCGTTCCAAAACCAGAGGAATCAGAGACTGTGCTGCCTCTTCAGAGGGAAAGCAACATTATGGAAACGAGCACGGATTCCCTCGAGTTGGAAGATAACATGGATAAAAAGCATCACCCGTTATGTCGAAGTTCTGATTCGTTAGAAATGAAAACCACGTTAGATTTTCCTTCGTTAAGTTCTGATTCGTTAAATAATGTACGAGATGCAAAGGAAATGCAGTCGGATGTAGCAGAGCATGCGAGCAGCGTTAGGCGTATTTCTTCGGATTCCCTTGATATGCCATTGCTTGAACAACAAGATGTTGAAAGTCACGAAAGACCAAGCAACGAAGACGATCGGTCGGATGGTGTCACGTCTGACAATTCTTTAGAACAAAGATCAGAAACAAGGGAAACCGATAGAAGTGATAAAATGAGGACGACACCAAGTACTAATACATAGGAATATTTTCGTAGGTACGTATTGCACGAATTGCGTAAAAAATTCATATTTCTGAGAGGATCTAACAGAATTTTACGTGCCATTCTAGATATTGATGTTTGTTACGATATATTACATGAGACGCAACAAATATCAATGTGTAAATTTTCATTAATTGTTAATGTTCCTCAGTTACTGTATAATTACTTAAATTATAAATCAGTATTATATAAAGTAGCAAGTCAGTATATTTATTAAAAACAATATATTACGTATACTTAAAATTAACGAAGTGTTAAAGTAAATATACTTTGAGTACTAAAGCAAGTGATTCAGTAACAATGTAAGGATATAAAAGTTTCTATTTTCTATCTAGCATGTATTGTTAGATTTAAAAGAGATATTTTGATTCTAATTCACTTGTAGTGTTTACTGTTTCAAATAGCACTTTATCACTTCTATCTTGATTCTAATTTAATTATACCTATATTTGTTTATACCTAATTATACATATACGACGGTGTATTAATGATATATGAGATATAATCTGTAATGTTACTTAAGAGAGAAAATTGTATAATTTTATTCAAAAGATGAAGTAGTTAAAAGTTAGTAAAATATGTATTATTGTTGTTTTAAATTACTGTTCTTGGAAAAGGTGTGACTTGTTTCTTGGTTATATGAAAATAATTGAATTTAATTGTTAATGGTCTATTATAGTATAGTATAATATATCCGAATTTAGTATATTGAAACTTCACTAAACCTTACTATATATACTAAAATATATTAAAACATTATGTACACAATTTGTATAGTATAGAAAATACCAAAAACATTTCAGTGATAATCATTTTGTGTATAAAATGCTTTTAAAGGTCTTATCATTTCAAGATGCTATACTTCTTTATTTCTATTAGAACAGTGGATATTTAGTTGATTTTAACGATTCCTCATATATAGGATGGTTTTTTTATCTTGAACTCATGTTATTTCTCAATATTTCTGTTATTTATGTTTTCTATAATTCTATAGAAGTTCCATGTGGTGAATATAACAGTAGGACAAAATACTTTTATCATCAGAAATAACAGAGATATTATTTATGTTCAAAATAAAAAAACACTCTGTATCTCTCATTTCGACGATTTTCATTCAGTAGTAACTAAGGGGTATCACAACGAATCTTATATCAAAATGGTGTCCACTTTCATTGATGCAACAAGTCCATACTCCTGTTATCATTCCTAGATTGGTTGTAGTACATGCCACAATGAGTCTCTGCTTCATACTTGTAGTATTGTGTTTATATGTACTATATATAGGTATCTGTATCTCGAAGCAAAATATATGAATAAAAAGTATACATAATATAGAATAGTAAGGAATGTTGATAGCAATTGTCGTTGTTATAAAACCTCAAATTTCCTTTTGATAGTACCAATAAATTATTCAGGTAGTTAACAATTCATTGAGTTACGTTTTTTTGTCATTCTGATTATTATTAGGTTTTCTTCTATAATAACTTGAAAATAATGAAATTATTTTTCATTAATAAAACAAAATCGACATAAAACCGGTACGAAATAAGATAAATTTTAGACAGTAAAAGTTTTGCATTTTACAGGAAAATGTACAAGTCAATATATAGAGTGTCTCAGCAACAGTAATACAACCAGGAAGGGGATGATTCTACATGAAAAAACAGATCGAAAATAAAGAATAAAATTTTCTCATTCAAATTTTCGTTGTCGAGAAAATCGACTTTGAATATTCATCGAATACGTGTGCACTTGATACAGGCGCACTGAAAAATGTTGGCTAAGGTAGGATTGACAATCAGTATACCAGCGTACTCAGTGGATATTCAAAGTCAATTTTCTTGACAACGAAGCTTCGAATGAAAAAATTGTATATTTTATTTTCGATTTGTTTTTTCCTTTAGATCCCCCCGGTTGTATCACCGATGCTGATGTATTGAAGATCCATACATCTGAACCATAGCTAAGTGCATGTGTACTAGGTGAATATTCAAAGTCGGTTTTCTCGAAAACGAAGCTTCGAATCAAAAAATTTTCTACTTTTTTTTCGATTCATTTCTGCATGTAGAAAATCACGCCCTTCTCGGTTGTACTACCTTTGCTGGAACACCCTGCATGATTTGATCTGTATCAACACGTTGATTATTTTATAAATTAAACACATACAGTAGAAGCCATAATTTCTAAAATAGGAAACTTCTTGAATCAATGGAAACGTAGTAGATCAATTTTAGAACGAATTCGATAGCTCGATATATTCTTTGATGAATATTAAGAAACATTCTATAGGAGGAAGAGTTAACAACACTACAAGATATGAAATTATTGTAATATGTGCTGCAATCATTCCAAGAATGATATAAGTATGCAAATTTTAGGAGCCTAACGATTCCAGTATTGTTAACACGTTGACTGCCATGATGGTTACCAGTGACCAGCGCTTGTCTCCTCAGTGGGGCCATGTTGGTTACCAATGTTCGGCGATACTAATTTTTTAAATTTATATTTGTTTTATTATAATCACTTTTTGAAAATTTGAACAACGTAAATAAGTAGAGAATTTTGAATAGAAAACATTAATAATTTGCACCATTTTTTTCTTTTCTTTTGCCATATTGTTTGATAATTGATTATTATATCCTAAGAATAATGGAAATTTTATCGTGGCCCCCTGAGTGTGCTATATAAAAGTGTATGGCAATCAAAGTGTTAATGTAAATAAGCTCTATTCGAGTATTTCTCACGATGTACAGTCGGTTACAAAAATATTCGATCATATATACAGTTTAGTTCCTCACTTTTCTTCTTCGTGCTTTTACGCATGTATCAATATTTATATATAATATATAAATATTATATTCCTCGATAAAATACATATTTTATATTCGTTGTACATTTATCTAAAATATAAAACAAAACATATTTTTTCAATATTCAATATTTTTGCAACTGATTGTACAATATCATTCCAAAATTTAGATTTGATGGAAAAAGAACACAGATTTTTTAGTGAAAGAAATTCAAATGGATGTTTAAGGTTTTATTTTTTAAATTAGTATATACGAGTATATGTCACAAAGTTTATGTTATTATTATTCTTTTATATTTATTTAAAATGCTTTTCATTAGCTAATAAAGAAATTATATATAATGCATATTGTAGTATATTAAAATTTTAAGTTGGGAAATAAAATATTTTTTTTTATCAAATAAGAAGTCTAATTCTTATATTAGAAATTATGGAAATCGTCAAAACATTTGTTGCACTAGCAATAGGAAAATATAACATACCATCAAAAATAATTATAACCTTAAAAGTTATTTAGAAAGTTCAAAAAGTTCTCTGCCTACAGAAAGATTATTATTGATATATTATAGTCTTCTCCTATTTAATAAAGTTATCCTATACTTTTAAAAATATCGGAGATGTTTTACTCTGTATATCATTAAATTTCTTTCATCGATTATATGCGATGTATAATTATATATATGTATAGCTAAATACCTGCTATTATATCGTGGAACAACATTGTTATAAATCTTCGCCGTTTAAGATGCACTTTTCAAGTTTTTCACTTACACAAATTTTTGGAACAAATTTTTAAAAACTGAATCTTTATTTAAAAATATATTCCACATCTTCGATAGAAATATATTACTTACTGTATCACGTATAGCTGATACTACGAATCGATTTTGTCCAATTTGATTCGAGCGCGAAAAACCTTTCCGTCTGATATTGTCTATAACCTATAATTGAATATCGACTCGTGAATTGATACATCGTGATTTAAAGTCGATAGGTAGTCATTTCGAAACGAAACACATTTTGATGCGTATGTAACAAACTATTGTAAAAATTGTATTTTAATATCGGAAAAAATATAGAAATTTCTTAACAAAATTAATACTTGGAATTGTAAATCTGATAAAAGGTAAAAGAAAAATTTTCAATCTTGTTTCCACGATAGTCGTATGTTAAATATGTATGTATGTACATATGTGGAAGTATAAAGCGTTTACGTCACTCCAAGCTAATTATAGAATATTACAAACAAATTTTGATTCATAACGTGTTTTTACTCACAAAGAGGTCATATGAAGTATTTATATGTATTGTATCATAAACAGGAATAATGCAGACAGGTATTTACGACTGTTAAATAAGTTTAGCATGGAAATTGGAAACACGGAAATGAAATTATATTTTTATGTTAGAATTTTTTTACAATTACGTATTCGACATTTTATATCGTTATGCACCTTCGTATATGTATAAATCTATAATTATATAGAATCACATATTGAACATTTGTTGATTAAATTTGTTGTTTTGTTGCAGATAGTGGACCATCAAAATGAATTTGTTACAACATTGGTTCTTAAGGCTACAACGATGTATTATCGAACCAATGCAAATGCTTTACGTATACAACATAATATGAAAAATGATATACTAAAGAAATACTTGCGCGTTGTGCATATGCAAGATATTAATGCATTTACCTTTATTTTATGCGACGTTTTATAAGAGTACTTGTTTTACGATGCTTAAGTCGGATAGTTATGATCTTTAAAATATAGGATTGTTATCAAAATGAGGTAGAAATACGAATGACGCTTACTCATTTCATATTAAAAATATACCAAAATGTAATTGCTTTCGATTTAATTATTTAGATAATTACAAATATCTTGCTTCATTGTTCACAATTGTTTGTAGCAATTAAGTTGTATTGCAAAATTGTACTTTTAAATGTTATTCATATGTCCTACTTGTATGATAATACTATTATATAAAATGTCATGTTTTGTAAATTTTTCGATTATAACGTGTCTTTGTGACTACGCTTTCTTAAGGTGTTGACAGTTATGAACACTTTATATAGCATACTGATTTTCAGAAACGTTTACGAGTTCTAATACTCGTTAATCTTAATTGCAAGTGTTCACGAAAGAACAAAATATATATTAATTAAATAGAAAATTTTATATACAAACCGTAATATTTAAGATATTAGGAGAAAACTACCAAGAGAGTGCATACTCTAATTAAATGTATGATGCATATGTGCAAATGTTGTAGACATTTTTTTGTATGCGAAGTTTTAACCAATTTCGAAGATTTTGCTTTAATCTCTTTGCTGACGATAAATTCGATGTATTTTATCGATCATGCAAATTTTATGTAATTTCAAGATTTTAATGATGTTTTTCATTTATCTTCATAATCTGTTTTTTTTTCATCGATGAAAATATAAATCTATATGAACAAAGTAACATCAACATTTATTAAAACCCCAATGCTCTTGGCAATTGATAATTGCTTGGATAACATGTCTGATAGAACTTCAATTATGGTAAAGCAATAACTTTGTCTGTACGTAAGGTAGTTAACGAATGCAAGATCGGGTATATAAATGACGAAACGTTGTACAATAAAATGAAAAAAAAGAAAAACAATGAAAAAGAAATACAGAATAGATACAATATTCACGAAGACTTTTTTTCGGTAGTTCCTTCCACCCTTTATCTAAGAAAAAAATTAGCGTTCTTTTAATATTTTCTCCTCGTAAAATTTCATATTAAATATTTATTTACTCAATAATAATTACAAAATTAAAAGTAAATTTTTGAAAAAAATCGTTGTCTTTTTTAGTTTCTTATTATTTAAGAAAGAAATAGTACTTTCCCACGTAAAAATTTGAGAACTAAATATAAATAACGAGAAACGTGTAAATATTACTTATTATACTAATCACCTACTAATGAAAGTTGTAAGTCTGTTACTGAACAGTAAATCGTTTTATTATTTTTATTAATAGTCAACTTAATTTTTTTAAACATACCTTTTTTTTAAGTGACTTTTTGTAAGATTTATTTACTGTAACATTTCTATTTATCTACTTACCAACTATAGTAGCAATTTGACTCTGATGGTCTTCACTTCAAGCTACAATATACATCAAAAATATATAGTGCTGGATGGGACAATAAAAACTAAATATTGTTAATAATTAAATAAGAATGTCAAAAATACACAGTGAAATATAAACTTTGTGTGATATCTACATTATTCCATATCAAATGAACATAATATATTTACAACAACAACGAAATATTGATAATGTTAAAATCGACAGAAAGTAGAACAGAGGTTAAGATTATAAATTTTGGGTAACTCAATTGTCGAAAAATAGTATATAATAGAACAGTATTTTTACAATAGCGTACAATATCATTTATAATAGTATATAAAAAAGGGAAATTTTATTACGCAGAAAAAGATGATCCTGTATCTGTGAGGAAAAATAACCTTAAATAATATATCTTATGAATTAGAACATGTTGCCTTTCAAACCAAATAAAATTATTTTAATAATTTCACTTTATTCTTAAACGTACAAGAGATAGTTTGGAAGATAAAAATAAACGAATTATTCTATAAATTAGTATAAATTAGTTTTTGTACATGTGTAAGGAACTTTTATCCTAAGATAATAGCTATTGTTTGAAGTTGGCTGCAGAAGGAATATGAATGACTCATCGTTAGTAAATGCAATTCATTGTGTACTAAATGCTACTGATATTTAAATTAATTCTTATCTACTTCGTATACGTGTACATATATATGTGTATATACGTATATAGATTGCTTATTAAGCAAATTAAGCTTTATCTCTTAATAATATGCTTCATCATTCTTATTTAAAGATTAATGCCCTGCATTCTAACATATGTATGTATACGTGTTGAAACAATTGATAATAAGAGATATCTAAAAATATATTTGTTGTTTTGACATTGTTACGTAAGTAGAAAATAAAAATAGAAGTTTTTATTTTCTTATTTCTCAATTTGATTGTTTTATTATAAATATTAATATTTTAAGATATATAAATCTCTTTATGCAAAATATTCTCATTAGTGTGAAACAAGTATTATGTTGATGGAATGAAGGAAAAATTTTCATTTTTTTTCTCTGATATACGTACATATGTAAATCGAGTTAGAACCAAACTTACAATGGAAACAGGACTTATTAGATCAAACAACTGAAGAAAACTAAGCACAGAAAGAAGCTTTATTATTGAATATTTGTAAATCATGTTCATGAGAAATGTACTTGCTGGTCATGTCACAATTTTGTTAAATATTGCAAACGTTATTGATTACAATAATTATAGTAATTTTCATACAATTTTAAATATAAAATATAATTTTAAACGCAAACGAATGTAATACTTACTAATATATATTAAATTAACAAAATTATAAAAAAAAATTACAGAAAGAACAAACAAATGATTATTAATATGAAATATTAATTATTTTATAATTAGGTTTATTCGTACAGAATATTATTAGTCAGTTACGTACATCAAAGATTGTAATTTAAAATACCTATTTGATTTTATACTTTATATAATATTATAATAGGCAAAGAAACAAAAATTCTTGATTCTGTCATCGCGTAAAATTAAACTTTTCCTTAATATTTTCCAAAATATTATATTATTATTTCATCACTTTTTATAATAATTAACAGATATTTATTAATATTGTATTATATAGGTATAAATAATGAATGTCAAATAATATCATTTGGTAAAATATACATATTTAAACAATTTTTTTATTAAATAAACGTAATTAATTGTTTATTTTTATTATGGTAAAAAATATGGATATGTTGTATAAATAGTATATACGATGTTTATTTGTAATTGTTATATTGATCGTGTTTAGAAAAAGTTTACTATTACAATATTAATATGTTTCAAAAATTGCATATTATTATATACCTTCTGTTAATTGTAAATGCGCTTCGAAGGATTCTGGAGACATAGGATACAATTATTTTTTTATTTGAATAAATATAAATATATATAAACTATTTAACAAAAGTATATTAATAAATACTTATTTTCTGTATTTCATGATGTTTATTGTTTATGAAATGTCTATAATGATACTGAATAATGTACTAGTTATCATATAAATAGGAATATGATAAAATAATTATGTATAACTTAAATATGTATTTTATGCAAGTATTTCCATTATGTTTCATAAAATTAGATTAATTTCTCTGCTACTTTCTTGTATTTGTAAAATTTGATACTATTCTAAAAAGAAAATATACGATCCAAATGCAACAGGAAGTAACATATACATAATACATATATGAATTTATTGAATTGTGTATTGTAGAGGAACTTAAATAAATAAAGCATCGGATGAATTCTACAATGCCGGCATATGTCGATTTGTCGAATAATAAACCAATTGCAGTAAGAGCAAATAAATTATTAATGAGTATAAATCCAGAAGGTATAGTTCTTAAATCCTATAAACGAAAGTTTGTTAATTATTTTGTACCTAATATTTCAGAAGCATTAATATGTCTGAGAAATGTTTGACAAAGTTTAAAATATTTTCATAACTACAATATTAAAACATGTATAGAATAGTTAGATTATTGTGATCCTCACCTGTGTTTCGTCATATAATTGAAGATGCTGATAAAATATTAGACAAAAGTGTATAATTATATAAACGTTTTGCCATAACGGTATATAATTATCATACTTGATCCTAGATGTGACCTATTAGAAATAATGACAAGATTATTATTACTATAAATATGCTTCAAAACAAATGTATTTATTTCATGCTTATGAGATTCAGCGATCATACAGCGAAAAAGAATCTTAGTAAAATTAATCAAACCGGTTTCCATGGTTTTAGTAATTCAAATTAATATTTATATACGGTATATCGGTATTGACTATTACATACCAACAATTGTGTAAGTTCATTGGTATGCTTAAAAACAAATTATATATTCTTACATATGATTTAATGATAAATCTTACGTTTGCAGCTAATCCATTGTATTTTCATATAAGTAATAAAATTATTATTTTTTATAATCTGATTCTTTTTTCGGCGTTTGCATTACTAATAATGTACTAAAAGTAAAAGAATATAGATTTATATTTAAAATAAAAAAAATATATAAAATATATAAAAATAAAAAACTTTAAGAAAATAAATAACACACTTAAAATATGTGTATTTGTTAGTTGAATTTAAGTCACAATAATTATAACAGTAATGATATTAATAATGCAGTTGTATTATAAAAATATATAATATGCAAAGCTCACATTAATTTTATATTCATCCAGACCTAAGCGAGGACTGCCTGGAAACCAACTAGGACCTTTCCAAATAACAGCTAACTTATCTGCGAGATTCGACATCCGTATACTCTTTTGAAATAATTCTACAGTATAAAATATCTATAACATAATAAAACAGTTATTAAAATTTACCAAATGATATATCTCATGTTAATAAAATAAAACCATTTACAGATATATTTTACCATGTATATATACTAAAAAGATAATTTGCATTACCACTACGGGTACAAATATTACACATTGTATATAACTACTCTTTTTTATTATACAAAAATACACATATGATCTAATAGTGAAAAATTTTTCAAACAAATTCACAATTTCTCACCTGTAAATATAGAGGATTAAAAGACCGAGGACTTACAACTAGTCCATAAATTATTTCCTCCTTTTCTTTTTCTTTCATGAATGTTCCAAATAGCTTATCCCATATAATGAGAACGCCACCATAATTTTTATCCAAACAATATAAATTGCAACCTGTGCAAAATATACAATAATTGCAGTTAATAGTAGTATTATTCATAATATATGATAACAATCAATAATCCCATCAAATATAAAATCAATATGTTGCCATTTATTTCTTACCATGATGTACGCGATGATGTTTTGGCGTGTTCAATATTAATTCCAACGGTCCGAGATCATCAATGACAGTCGTGTGAATCCATAATTGATAAATTAAATTAAACTGATTATGAGCGATGAAATGTGATGGAGGTATAAGTAATGCAAGAGGTAAATATAATATCTGAAAGCAGATCAATATTTCTATAATACTTGATATAATATTTTCATATTTAATCATTTTTAAAATTACGTCGTGTTCCTATCATTACAGTGTAACATCGACTTATATTGCAAACCATCTAATACAATATCTTTGAAATGTGAATTGTATAAAAATTTTGCAAAATGGCATTTTATTTTTATTTTTAGAAATCACGATATTCTTGCATTGCAAAACATGCTGTTACTAAACCTTAGTTAATTTAACATTAGAACCACCATAGAAAGTTCAAATATTCTATTAGGTTGACCAATAAGTAGCAATGAATTTCTAGAAATAGATAGAAATAGTTAAAACTAAAATAGTTAAAACTAAAAATTCCAATTGGAATTATTTATTACAAATTAATCAACATATTATTTATAAATATTATAACATATTATTTAATCATATTTTTTTTATTTCAAACTAAATGATTACCATTTTATACTAAAACTACCGACATTATTATTTGCTCAACCTTTTAGTTTCTCATATATATATGTTAAAATCATACAGCTATTTTTCACGTAATTAAATTAGATTTTTATTCAGATAGACGATTGTTTTTATCCATTTATTTTCATAGAATTATCTCAATCGTTATCATTTGTACATATCATATTTAGCTAAATATTATAGATAATTTTTATTTTTAATTAAATACAAATCTTTTAAGAATAATTTTCCTAAAATAAAGATATTAAATTAAATAAAAATAAGAAACTTTTGATTAAATTCAATAAAACAGAGATTTTATCTTTTACCGTAATATTTTCCAAATTATTTGATAAATTCTTTCGTTCATGAAACTGATCACATATTAATGGGAACGCAATTGCAGATGTGCAGAACATCGATTGCACCCGTCTGCCTATAGCGTGAGAGACCCGCAGGATCCCGTATATGTAACATGAGCGATACTTACGAAGTTACACCAGTGTTGCAAAATAGATTGCCGCAGACCAACCGCGAGATTGAACTCCTCGCTGCTATGATGCACTTGATGGTGAGCCCATAAAAAGTGTATCTCTGTAAACGGGCGAGAAACACTATAAATTTGTCAAATAGAGGATCGACAATCACACACATGGTTGGATAGGAATTTAACCGTGGTTACTGCGGTGAACCCAATAGTAACAGAAATCCACCCCCACGGCAGTGACACACCAAGTCCATGCTGAATTCCAAGGCAGGTTCCACCAGCGATATCTCTCGTAAATTATGATGTATGCATAATATTCAGCACCACGGAAGAAAATACTGGAATATTTCGTTGAATAAATATAATTAATATAATTTGCTAAACAAGCAATTACAAATCTATTATAAAGTTATGTAATTGCTATCTTATTTAATAATTATTCATTTCCAAAATTAAATCATGCTACATCGTGACTTGAGTTTGGAAAATAACAGATTATATCCCTTGATCCGATCTGAGCAAAGGAAGCATAGAAAAGTATAAATTCGCGTATATTTTTACATTGCCCTTTAGTATACATCAGCGCAAAGAAAGAACAACGTGTCAACTAAAAATACGCATTCAGCTCAGTAGTGTGCAAATAGATCTCGTATCTTCCAATGGTTCAACCACACGAGTACCCGTTGGAAAGTACTGAAGATAAACGAAACAGTCTCATTTCCTCGATAATTCTATAAACAAACATTGTTTAAATAAAAACAAAGTACATTTCGTTATACTTAAACAAATATATAATTAATTAAACTATACTATTCTTAGAGACCTCTGATGTCTAGTAGGTATAATACACGAATTGATAACTTTATTTTCACAAATTCTAGTTCAAAATAAAGTTTATTTTCGAAAATTATGTCTCGCTATCATTTTAAAAACTGTTATTAAAACTTTAATATTTTGATATATTTTATCAAAATATTTTTGTGTCGCATGATAATTAAGAAAGTGCTTGTAATTCCTAAAGCGATAACAGTACATAACAGAAAATAATAGAGTGATTCCCTTATTATTTTCATAATCCATTAAGAGAGATTTTGCTCGTCGCATTTCATTTTCATAGTAACGTTTCGATACTTGAAATATTTTTTCTCTTAAATGCAAAAAAACAATAATTATAAAAACATTTTATAAATAATAAAAAAAGAAAAGAAAATAATAATAAGAGCTGAATGATAAAACGTTACCTATGCTTACCGGCCAGTTTCTTGAAACATCCAATGAGATAAGGATGTCACTTGATCGTTCAGGCGAAATTTCTTTTTTTTGGATATCAGTATAATTTGCTCCAGTATGATAAGAACCAAGAACGGCAGCCATACCTACATAATATACAGTAATCTTATCTTAATTGATGTAATTATCCAACGATAGCGTTTGTTTATGTTATCGTACATTTTATCCTTTCATAAAGTTCATAAATATGCGAAATTTTGTTTTCTTCGATATATTAAAATATTTCTATGTCCATATTTAATGTGAAATAAAATATAGAAAAAAGTACTAGAAATAAAAAATTAATAATAATGTTATAAAAATAATCCATGAACAAAATAATATGAAAAAGAAAACAGTAAAAAGATATTCATTTCACTTTATATCTCTGTTTCATGCTGAAATGCAACATGTAATGCGACGTACAATTGCACTGATTACTTCTATAATCTGCAAATAAATTAACTGTTAAAACAATGAATGGCTCTGTTCACAACGCTCGTACACAGTTTACATAAAAATAAGAACGCAAGAAAAAATTAGAAAATTGAATTATACAAAATTCTTTACCACTAGTAATATTAAATATTAATTTAATTTTAAATATTCATATTCAATTTTTTAATACTAGTAATATTCTAGTGATATTAAAAAGATTACATTATTATTGGCTGCATATTTAACAAATTAGTGCATTTTAATAAATTAATATTAATTCAAACGCAGATTGAAAAATTCAAAACAGAGAAAAAGGTATTAAAATGTACAATTCTGTAATGGAGTATTACTCATAGAGAAAATAAAATGTAGATGCGGTTACCTGATGCTGATAATCAGGAACTTCGTGCGGGAATTCGAAGATAGTTTCATAGGGGTTAACAAGATACCAAAGTTTTCCTGCATGTTTCAGCTGATCAACCAAATCGATGTTCGAACTGTTCATGTTATTTGTTGGTACGTTATGTTACACCGTTAATGCTCAAATAATTCTTATTGATTTACGAAACACAGTAAACACACTGAAACATTATAACACCATCCGATTCTGTTTTAGTCCTCGAACTGAGTGCACGCATCGTTTATATACGTTAGTTCGAGCTAACCGAGGACACGTGAGTATGCGCGCGCGATGCCTCTTTCACGGCCGTATGTGGTAAAGGCGCGACAATGATGATACGATAACATTTTATTCAAACCAACATTTCAAATATGTCATGATTTGCTAAAAATAAAGATTAAAATTAAATTTCATTCTACAACGTATCATAACTACGCAGCTTTCGTGCTATTAATAGAATGTCCATTAATAATGCATTGTCTCTAAATATGGACAATTGTATATATCGAAAAAAAACATTTTCAAAAAAAATATTAGAGATTTCACCGCATAACGATTTATTAACTTTTATAAATTTATTATTCTACCTTTTCTCAGTTTCTATAAAAAGTTACTCTTAGTTATATGCGTGTTTGATAAATTAATAATTAATTTTTTATTAATTAATTGATTGAGTTCTAATTGAATTAGTAAGTGGGGTCAAATATGAAATAAAATTGTCAAATATGTAATCAAAATTTCATGTGTGATAATATAAAGTGAATTATTTTGACAGTTCTTTGTAAGATTTTTTGGACAGTATAGTCAGAATATGTATAATGTGTGGCTAACATAACTTAAAGCACGTATTGCAAATTTTGAAAATAAAAGGAAAAGAGACAGAAAACTTCAAGATATTGTTATACATTTTCTGTTTTTTATGGTTTATATTTAATATTACGAACAAGCAGTGATAACATGAAAGATACGTCGAAAGAATTTGTAAGAGTGGGAAACGCGTGATACACCACTGTATGCAAACCTTCAGTATGTCAGACACTGCATTGGCGGCAGACAGGGTGTTTCATAACGCGCATTAATTATTCGCGCACGAGTGGACAAACCAATAAATTATACTATTGCTGTATATGAGATTGTTTTTACATTTCTCATGTCAAATTAAATATTTTAATCAATTACGCATAATAAACAAAGCATTTCTTATTGTTTGAAAAAATAAGAAACAACAATGAAAAGTGTATATAAGAAATTTAAAGATTCAAAGTAAACATTATACCAACTTACTTTGTTTCATAAACTTGACTTCAGAGACGATTTTTAATTAGAATGAACGATTAAGATTTCTAAAATAATATTTTTAAAAATTTTATCTTTATTTTTGTTATGTTTTTTATATTTATAATAGCATATTTATATACTGTCTGAAAATTATAGAAATAAAGATTTTCTTATTGTATACAAGAATATTAAGGAAGATAAACATGAAAAATTAATATCTTTTCACTTATAAGCAATTTTATTTTTTATTTAATTGTACTTTTATGTTTTAATTTGTACAAAATAATTTATATATTTTTTGAAAGATACATATTGCTGTATGTACTTGTTATTATCAATTATATTTATTTCATAATTATATATTCTATAATTATAGTTAATATTTCAGTCAGTTTAATCGTATTTCCTGTTTTGAATTACACAAGTTTATTATGACTTCGACAGTTGACAAAATAATTAAACGCATATTTTTAAGCTATATATAGAGGATATATGTAATTAAAACATATGACATTAATACCAAACGACAAAACACGTATTAATAATGCAACTTCAATTTGCATGGCAATTGACATGGCTACTTAAATTTAAATTTCTTATGAAGTTTAACTTTTCGTATAAACCAATTTATGTTATATAAAATTTATGTGAATTAATAAATACGTATATACTATACGTAATTTTGTGTTTTATGCATTCGTCCATAAAAGAATTTCTAATTAATACCATATTTCTAATTAAACTCATTAGAAGTTATATAATAAACAATTTGCCATACAGTTGTTAACTATTGGTAATAAAATTTATTACTATGTGAAATTCGAAAAGAAATGCCTTCATTCTTTTTTACACATTTATATAATAAATATGCCTATATGATGTCTATTATTTCACAGTTAACGAAATATTTGCGGAAACGTTGTTCGCTGTATCATTGTTTACTGACTTTAATTAGTTCTTATTTCAGTAGGTACTTACTCAAAGCGATGCTCTTTGAATCTCCATACAGCTATACAATCCATTAATTAATAAAAACATTGTAGATTTTATTATTTTTATTTTAACAATTCATTTATATTTATTTTAACAATATTACATTTGTTCTAACAAGTCAATTTTTCGTATCATTTACTATCATCAATAAAGGAATTATGAATACATTTATTTTCTTTTTCTATAAGTGACACCTATCCGCGCCAAATTCAAACCATAAGGACCATAAATTGTCCATCGCTTATCTTAATTAATGAATTGCACAACTACATAGAAATTAATCGATATCAGTAGCCTAGTAAGATACAAAGGCTGTCTCAATTTTTTCCATATGAGCTTTGCCAGTATATCACTAAATAGAAATAAATTCAAAATATTGTGTATCTACTCGAAATAAATCACTTACAAAAATCAACATCATATGTGCAAAAATTAGACAAAATTGCGACGATATTTAATCCGTAATAAATTCAGTAGCGTAATAATATGAGACTTGTAACGATAAACGTGATTGACACTTCAAGATATAAATAAAGATACGGAACACACTTCACGTTTTATATTTTGATTATAACTTGTTAATGTAATCAATGGTAAAGCCAAAAAAGTAGTTATTCTACACGAAAAACTGAAACAAGAATGAAAATTTTGTTCGCGGGACTTTATCGTCAAGAAAAATAACCTTAAAAGTATATCGAGTATACGTATAATTGATTAAGTCCTAACAAATTTCACTGTAAATTATCTTGCTTCATGTGCGTAAAGGTTACTACTGTTCATATAGATACATATATACATACATCAAATGGATTGAGTAATGAGGGCATCGAATAAAACAAAATATTTATTCTTTAAAAATTCTTTTAATTAAAATATTATTGAGAATAATATCCACATTACTGCATATATAATCCATATTGCGTATGAGTTTTCCTTATTAAGTTTCTATCGACGTTTTCTAAGCTTATTTTGCCGTTTCAATTTTTTAATTGCTAGAATACATTTTGTCATTCGATCTGATGTATACGTATTAAAAATATTTTTTGTATATAAATACAGATAATCTACAAACAACTTCGTTGATATAAAACTTGCTTAAGTCCATGTGTACTAAATTAATCTTCAAAGGCCATTTTTCTTTTGGAAATAAAATCTTTTATCACATATTTTCGATTCAGTTTTTAACATAGAATAATAATATTCCTATTTATACTATTAGTCACCTAGTACCACATGTGTATTTGTATATATTATTACACTATATTATTAATCTTTCTTACGGAAAATTAATTGTTTTTTTTTTATTTTAATGCACCAAATTAGTGCATATTTTATAAAACAAATTCAAGGTCGTTTTGACGTTTTCTAAACTAACGAGTTGTTTAAAAGAAAAAGGTTATTTTACCTTTGTACTGTATATCTTTATATTTAATTGTTTTTTTATGGTTTAAATGTGATACACTCTGTAGATTTGTATACTAAACTCACCAAACGTACATGTCATATATGATATCATATATTATTACACTTATACATGTATATATTTACACAATTTTGTGTTCTATTTTACTCCAATTTACACACATGTATACACTGATATGATTCACTCCAATGTATATATTGTACAAGTTATATATCAGCATTACACAGTCGGTCGTAGTAATCGAGGTCATGACCTAACTAATATTGTCAGATAAAAATGCAAAATATGTTGTTTATCTATATAATTTGTCATATAATGAATTTTCTATTGCTAACTCTTTAAAATAAATTGAATTTAAATATCATGCACATAATACTTTGATAAAGTTTCACAATGTTGCGATTTAAAGGTTTATCACATTTTAATTATTATCCTTGAAATATTTCCATCACTTTAATTTATTTGATTTATCTATTAGTGGATTTTGCGAATAATTGACTAAAAACAAAATTTTAAGGATTTTTTATAATGTCATATAAATGCGATTGAGCTTATTATACTCATATCATAAATATTTTTAAAGCACATATAATTATCGTGTAAATGCCGATCTCAAATGGAATAATAATTTTGAAAATGCAGATAGATACATCCCTGAATAAAGTGACTAATTTGGATGTGATGCTAAAGACGGTTTCTATTTTATCAACATTAAGTGTTTATGTCAGGTTATGCACGTGGGAAATTGATATATCGTCTAAAACGATTTAGAATTGTAAACATCGGTAGTTAAAACCCAGAAACAGTAAATAAACAAGTAAAAAATATTTCTTCTTCCTTGTTTTCATTTTCATATGGTATGTATCATGTGTTGTACAAGAATATAATACTAAACTGAAAAAGTGACGAATGAAGTTTTGTAGGTTACATTTATTCAATATCATTTGTAAAAACTTATACTTAATTTGTTTCTACTTTCAGTTAAATCATGAAAATAAAAAAGGCAAAAGTCGTGACAAAGAAAACAAAAAAACCTGTCACAAAGAAAAAGAAACAATTAAGTAATATAACAACAGATGACTTTTTTAATCAAAATTTTGAAGATGAAATAAATGCTAGTGATAATAATGATCAAGGTAATAATCCGTAAAAAAAAGTAAGAGGGTTTCCACATCATTTTGATGCAAGATATGTGATATAAATGACTAAAACATAACATTAATTGGAAAAATGCTTTTTCATTAATTTAGGCTATAATAAAAATCATTTCGGAATATGAATTATATACTTAACTGTAAAAAGAAAAGTTAAAATGTGTTTTAATTTACATTGTACAAAAAACAGTTGTATCTAATTTATAATGATTGTCATTTAATTTTTTAATAATGATTTAATAATAATAATTTATTTTATTGTAATACCTTGAAAATTTGAGAAAAATTGTAATTTTTTTGAAGTATACAATTTACACAAATAGCTAAACATAATTGAGTCAATCTCAGTATTTCTATATATAAATATTGCTCATAATGTATGAATCAAATTGTTTGTATATGACATATTGTTAAAAATACAACATACACATGATTAAATATAGACATAAATATATTCCTAAATAAGATATTTTTAATTTAAGATATTGTCTTAAAAATTCATTAGAAAATTACAGTTTATTTATGCAACAAATTTTACATATGAATTAGATAAAGATATCCACGAAGATGATGCAAGAAGCAGTGACAGTGATATAGATCCAATAGAGCATAAGAAATCTTTAATGAAATTAAAGGATATAGATCCAGAGTTTTATACATATTTACAAGAAAATGATAAAAATCTTTTAGATTTTGATATATCAGATGATGATGATATTGATAATGATAATAAATCTTCATTGGATAAATTCGATGCAAGACATATACCTGATCATCATTTAGAGGTATGAAAGTGAAACATATAAATAAAAGGGAGAAATAATTTATGTATTGGAATGAAAAAAAAATAAAAATATGTTTCTATGTATTTCAAATATCTTAGGTTGCTAGTGATGAAAGTGATTATGAAATAGATCAAGATAATGAAGTAAAGGATAAAAGAAAAGTTACATTGCAATTATTGAAAACATGGCAAGAAGAAATTCAGAAAGACAAGTAATATTGCATTTATATTATACACATTAAACTTTAACGGTATTTGTAGAATTAAAAAATATTTCTGTTATATTAGTTTGTTCATGTATAGTACATGGAATTGTATATAACTTTTCAGATCATTGAAAACAATTAAATGTGCCGTAGAAGCTTTTCATGCGGCATTGCAAACTGTAGCTGAATCTGCTGATTCAGACTCTCTGCAATATAAAGTAGAGGGTGGTGTAGGTATGTTTTCTAATACATAACTTATGATGTGGTAGTAAATAAATATTTACTATTTTAATAATTGAAATATTTTTTAGTGTTTAATGGAGTTTTCCAATTATGTATATTATATTTACCAGACGCATTTAAACGATATTTGAAATTAAGTTCAGAATCTCAAATTCAAATTCATAAAGTTAAAAGGTTTGCAAAAGTAAAGACTATTCTTAAATCGTATTTAACAAATTTAATTAAGGTAAATATTGATATTGATTTTGACATTGATCCTAATTACTTTACGACATATATGTGTATATGTTTGTATATATATGTTTATTTATTCACAGATTTTACAACATGTAACGTCACATAATATTCTTACAATCCTTTTAAAACATTTACATCAAATGTTACCATACACACAGTCTTTTTCGTCATTAATTAAGCCATTATTAAAGGTGTTGTTGAAATTTTGGTCAAGTGGAGAAGAAAATGTTCAAGTTGTTTCTTTTTTATGTATATTACGTATTGCAACCAGTAATCGCGAATCAGTTTTAGAAACATTATTTAAGGTAAAAACAAAATTTAATAGCGTATTAATACCTCCAAAATATATGATAAAAATATAGGAAAATAATTTTGATATAATTGACATTTTTTAAATTAATATGTTACAGACAATGTATGTCAAATATGTTGAAAATTCTAAATTTGTGTCTCTTACAACTTTACCTGGAATTAATTTTATGAGACATTCTTTAGCTGAAATATATTTGTTGGATAATAATTTAGCTTACAATCATGCTTTTTTATATATTAGACAGTTAGCTATTCATTTAAGAAATGCCGTGACTTTGAAGAGAAAGGTAACAGTATTTAAAACAAAATACTATATATAGTTTTCTTTTTAATATTATTTTGTATTAACAAGTTAATTCATATTTAACTTCTTTTAGGAACATTTCCAAGCTGTGTATAATTGGCAATATATAAATTCATTACATTTTTGGACAGAATTAATAAATTTATCAAGGAGCGATTCCATGTTACATTCACTTTTATATCCTCTTGTACAAGTGTGTAGTATCATTTTTAATGTTATAATTTAGCTATCAAACAAATATTTAATATATGTTATATATTTGCAGATTACTATAGGAACAATTAAACTAATACCAACTGCACAATATTATCCTCTAAGATTTCATTGTTTGCAAATGTTAACAGATATGTCTAAAGAAACTGGAACATTTATACCTATATTGCCATTCTTAATAGAGGTATGACACATTAAATTTATTTATTTAAAAAAAACAAAGGAAGTAGTTCTAGTATTAATTTTACAGTATTATAAACGTCATTTCTAATACTTCAATAAATAATACAAATATTAACATATATATTAATAAATTCTTTTATAATTCTGTATTTATAAAATATATAATATCAAAGAAGTAGGACTAATTTAATTATTTAACGAAAATATTTTCCATTATTTTTTCTACTATAAGCGAACAAAATATTTTACGTCTTTTTTAATATATGTAAAACAATATTTAATTTTTGTAAATTAAGATACTTTTTATTTTTATAGGTATTAAATTCTTATGATTTCAATAAGAAACACAAGGCGGTATCAATGAAGCCAATACCTTTCATTTGTATTTTAAGGATGTCTAAGTCTCAGTTACAGGAAAATGGTTTTAAAGATAATGTTATTGATACCATATACAAGCTTATCTTAGAGAATGCTGCAAAAGATAGTCATACAGTATATTTTCCAGATTTATATGTACCATGCATAATACAGGTAAGTTATTAACTTTACATATTAAGTGTAAGAACTCTCATAGAGTATAATAATTTTGATATTCAGACAGTTACTATTAACTAATAGTTCTAAATATTTATAATATAATGTAATATATGTATAAAAAGAAAAGAGATTACTTGTAAATCTTTAATAAATGTTAAACTAAGCAAAGATGTTCAATATGAAATTTTGATGTGTTAAAATTAATATTTTTCATTATTCGATATAAATATTTTAATGTAATAAAGTGGTAAAGTATAGCAATATTACATGTTGGAAAAAATATATAATCATTGAACTAGTGCTCAATATTGAAATTTAAAGATTATACAAAGATAGATGCATACTATATAGTGTATTTCATAATAGCATTAACAAGCAACACAGAACTTATTAGTATGTTGCATTACTATCTTCTTACTTTTATCAAATAAATTTTAATAATATTAAGTTTAATTCACTCATAAATTAAAATTTGTATACCTATTGTCTACCCATTAAAGATCCATTAAAATATTGTCCACCCTTTTTTAATGATTTGTAGATATGATATTTTAATATAAATATATATACCAATTTATTAATTTTTGTTTCTAGTTAAAGGCATTTTTGAAGAAATGTCATATAGCAAACTATTGTAGAAAAATGAAACAATTATTAGATAAAATTGAGGAGAATAGAAAGTATATTGAAATAGAGCGCAATAAAACCATTTTTGATTTAAAAAATATGTCAGAAATAAAGAATTGGGAGAACAAGATAAAAACGCAAGGTACATCACTATCGAAGTTCTATGAGTCATGGATAAAAATTTATCAGTCACAGAAACTTAAATTACTTACAAAAAATGAAGACATAGCTAAGTATAATTTACCAACTATAAGAAAGTTAAAGAAAGGAAAATCAGGCATTGAAGGTATAGACGATAGTAGCGAAGAAAGTGACTTTGATATGAGAATAAAATCCAATGAGGAAAAACCTGAAAAACGTTCCAAACCAAAGAAGAAAAAACTAAAAGTTAATGAAGATAATAACAAGATTGATTTACCAAAAGAAAATACAGATATCGTACAAGACATCAATAGTGATGATTGGGACTAAATGTAATTTATTTTACAAATATATGAGAATAAATAGATATCAGTTGAAATTTTATAAATGGAAGAATATCTTTTTAGAATTTATCAAGTTTTATAATAAAAATGTTTAGTTTTAAATAATGAGAGTAATGCAATTATTAATCTAAAATTAAAGCAATAGATTTGTATTTAAGCAAATGAGTATCATTTTAAAGACTAATATTTTAATTTGTTATAAATTTAACATACGAACTACTGAATTGCAAACAAGGATCATCATTTATCTCGAATATTATGCAGTCTAGATTTTTATTGAATGTTTGCATTGTTTATTATGATAATATGATAAAGAATTGCAACAAGTTGGGATGGCATTGAATGGGTGCTATTACTTATGTCGTATACAGCAGCAGCCACCGATTTCTGAGGTGTCGCTTTCTGATAGTCTATTTTTACCGAAGACGACTCAAGGCAGTCGGGAAGTTAGTATAGCGACGACTAGGCGCTATTATAAAGCATCGTGTGCTCAGCGTGCAGTAATTCATTCAAGTGAACGTTGCAGATAAGAAAAAAATCTCGAAGGAAGAAAAATAACAGTGTTTCATTTGTTGAAAAATAAAGGTACAAGTGGTGAAGGAAGCTTGAACAAGCGACAAGCTTATCCTTCGAACAATTGAGCATTTGGACGACTCCATTGGGAGAGGATTCAGTTACGTATGTAGGTGAATCGCAAAAAGCAAATGTTTGTTGAAAGATGTAGCTGGAGCGTGAAATTTTCTCTCATGTTTGCGAAAAATTTATGATAGTTTGCTTGATATAAAAATAAATCCCTGTTTCGCGTTCAGTTTCCCT